GGGGGTTCTTCCCACTGCTTGAGGGGACCAGAGAGCGCTGTAGCCTAGCTATAGGCGCTCGGCGAGCACCCAAAGCGCAAGGTTCCTAGGGGGATCCGGAAAATTGTGAAAAATGAACCTTCTGAAATGGCATCTTCTGCGTTTTTGAGAGGATTTCAAAGAAAAAAATCAGAGATAACTTTTTATTCAAAGGTAGAGTGAGCAGTTTTTTCTACAATTCCGCTGGTGATACGAATCAGTCGATCTTTTAAAGAAAATCTTGGACCTTTAGATAAAAAGTGGACCAAAAAGTGGACCTTTGAGCCTTGTGACCGCCCCCCCCGTCTACGGGCATGCTACTCAAGTATCATAGTAACGGTTTCATCTTTCAGTGAGGTCAACTTCTCGACCGTGAAAACACAAACAATGATCGTGTGTGCAACTTAAAAGCTTCGTCACTGCAGCTGTTTCCTAAGGTGTTTGGTTGTCGACATTCTTACAACCGGTCAAACGTCTGTACTGTTCTTGTTGTCGGGACACCTACGCTTGTGAAAGCAGTAGTACTCGGTACCACTGCAGACGTTTATGGAATGTAATGCTAATATTATCCAGAACAAAGCAGTTTAGAACAAGTAAAGGCACGTGCAACACAATAGACATAGCTCCACTTCACAACCATCTCGGATCAATTTACTTTCAGATATAATGGGGAGCAGCTGTTGCAAAGTCGACGTGTCTTCGTACTTCACAACAATAGACACACCGGAGGACCAGGCCTTTGGAAAATATGACTTCCCATTCGAGAACCTGGTTATGGAGGGAGGTGGTGTCAAAGGAATTGCGTACATCGGGGCATTGAGGGTAACGTGTCACTCATTTCAAGTTTGGGAAACTGTCTGATGAAATTTGAAAGATATGAGAACTGCAAATATAGGTTATACAATTGTTGTTGAATGATAGCCTTTATCTGTGGACTAAATTAACGTATAACATGGCTGGTTTTTCACGTTGGTTATACATTTGTTATGAATCTATTCATTAAGGTCTTGGAATCTGCTGGAATCCTCAAGAACATCAAAAGAGTTGCCGGTTCGAGCTCAGGAGCCGTAATTGCAACGTTGGTGGCCCTGGGACTCAACTGTGAACAAATGGCAGAGATCATGATGATTGACATGAGGAAAATACTTTTCTCTGGTATGCATTTCAGACTGTGGTTTATACTTATTTCGTTTTCAACTCACAACTGTCATTATAATCAACTCTTACTAGTTTGTATTTAACGTCTAATGGAATGGCTTTTTCAGGGGGACTCTTTGAAAGATTGATCAAGCCTTGCATGTTTTTCCGACGACTTGGCTGGGACACGGGGAATGGCTTCTACAAGTACTGTGGCAATATTCTCAAAAGGTTCACCGGGAACCCAGACATCACGTTTAAAGAGGTATGACTCGAGGTCGACATTTCTTTTAGAAATGTCTTGAGCGATCAAAGGAATGAGCAAAATGAATTGATATTAATTGTCTCTTAGCAACACACACATATCAGTGCTAAACAAACATAAACTGCATATGTATTGTATATTAATAACAATCATTAAGTTTTCAAACCTACTGCTGCAGTCAAGTGTTGATATATGGTCACGTGTTCGGAGTATTGATTCAGCTATCGGGAGAAACAAGATAAACTTAAATCCATTCATGAATGGGTTTCGGTAATTTTTCATATGCAAAGGTATGATGGTATGCTATCTAAAATTAATTATTCCACCAAATATTGTCTACAACAAATTTAAGCACATATTATTTTTCAGCTGTATGACATGACAGGAAAAGAACTCTGCATCGTGGTAACAAACTTGGACCAACAGACGGAGGAATACTGCCATGTCAAAACCACGCCCTACCTTCCCATCCGTAATGCTCTCAGGATGTCCATGTCATTGCCAGGTACAAAGACTTTCCTCTTCTAAGTTTTTTACCTTCGCCAAGAAGGTTATGTTTTCAGTAGCGTTTGTCCGTCTGTCCGTTTGTCTGTTTGTTTGTTTGTGAACAGCATAACTCAAGAAGCTTAATATGGATTGTCATGAAACTTGGTATGTGGGTAGGTCTTGATGAGACCTAGAAATGATTAGATTTTGGGCCCCCTGGCGGCTTTTGTTGGTACTGCAGCAGAACTTCCGGTTTTGATATCTCACGATCTAGACATGCTGGGGTCACGAATTTTCGTTGGTAGATAGCTCTTGGGGTAGGGAAGAAGTGACATGAGTTTGGGCCCCCTAGCAGGTTGTTCTGGAACTGCAGGAGCATTTCTTGAAAAATCTCCGAAGGTGGATAACTCAAGAACCGGTTGACGGATTGTCATGATTTTTGGTATATAGGTAGCTGAAGTGATGCTTGACAAAATCAGATGACAATTATGCAAATCAGGAGCTTATTTGCATAATTAATGAGGAAATACTATAAATCTGCTTCATTCGATAATAGGACTATGAAACACTCGTGACATGTAATTGAGAACGAGAAAAACATCTGAGGTTATAGATTATGTAAATGAAGACCTAATTTGCATAATTAATGGGAAATTGTTATAATTTCATTGTTGTAATTGCTGGTAATTTCATACTTGCCGCATTTGGAAGTTAAGTGAAGGTGAATATCAATGAAGATAATTTATTCACATTATGACCTCATTTGCATAATTTATGAGGAAGTGCTAGAATAGCTTATTTTGTTAAGATAAGGCTGTCATTGGGTGGAGTATATGATCAACTTATGTAATCCATGCAAATGACGCTCTTATTTGTAAATCAATTATTAAAATTGTATAATTCGTCAACCGGAAGGTTTAACATCATTTGGCGAAGGTATGAGATCGTGGAACTCTTGTTTTCTAATGTACTTGTACTTCTACGTTTAACATGCGTCTGTTCTTGCGAACAATCGCCATTAATGTCATAATTACAACCGGTGCCCGTCCGGGTGTAGCTCCGCGGCCCGACCGGGCTCTGAAATCGGGAGGACACCGGCTGTCGTGGTCATAATTAGACACCGTTTACATAAAAAAATCCTTGGTGCTGCCCCGCAATGCAGCTGTATGGGCCCTGAGATGTTCTCTCCGTTAACTGTAGACAGTTATAGTTCTATGCAGCTGATCTGAGCGAAGGGTGTCAAAAATTGAATACTAATATTTTTCTGCTTCGTAACAATCGTAACAATAAGAGAAACATGAGGCATGAGAACTCGAACGACAATGTACTCTCCAAGCGCAGTTTCGGTCGAGGTACGAGTAGTGTTCTTCAGGCTTCCTTCTTTTTCCCTCCACAGTGGTAGTACACTCGAGGTTACACTGTGTCTCTTCGATAGGATTTGACGAGCTTTGAAGTTTGGAAGAATATTTGACACATCAGATCTTCTTTCCTACTCGTGAATCGGTAACTTGAGTAGATTGTTGCGTCTAGAAATTGGAATTTTTGACGTATCTGCTTGCTAAGACTTTTTATTTCTTCATTTTTATCGTCATCGTTTAACCTTGAATATACCAGTACTGTTCCAGCCTGTGGTGGAAGATTATTTTGGAGACAAGACACACTACGTTGATGGGGGCGCGGCCTGTAACTACCCTCTCCATTGTTTTGATGGTATGCATCAATCCTAGCCTACTTATCTAGAATCATAAGTACTAAAAAAAGTACTTTTCACTTTGGTTACATTTTTTTTGTTATTCGAATCATTTTGGTAAATTCGACCATTTTAACTTTCTGTATTCCCTTGTTATGTATGTATTAAAATCAATATTTTCTATATCGTGAATGCAGTCTAAATAAGAATAAAATGAAGTATTTGTTTATCACAAAACATCCATTTGTATCATAAAATGTTTAAAAATTAGATCTTTGTACACATCTGCGCTTTTTATTGTATAGGATGGTGGCTCTCCATGGAGGAGCAAAATTCCTTCTTCAATAAGCTCGTAGATCTCACCATCCTCCGCAGAGCCCTGCACAGATCGGAGCGCTTCGAGCCTATGAATCCGAAAACTGTCGGGATCTTGTTGGTAAGTACGGCTGCACTTGTCTGTATCAGTAAGAGATGGTACTGTACGGTATAAATTTTTCCGTAGTATCAATCTACTATTGAACTATCGATACTGTTGATTGGTTTTCCTATTGATATCCTCCAAACCATATGACGTCTCCTTTTCCAGTATTCCGATGAGGATATCGAGCTATTCTGGGATCGTCTGACGGAAGAGGAAAAGAAACATGAGATGAGCAGGTAAGACAACCATCTCTGGCAGGACCCATGAATCGTCCCTACTATTCATCACACATATGTTTGCATTGGATTCAAACGTAGTGCTTATTATAGCATATTAAAACTTCTGACAGCTTTGTTTGGTCATATGTAGGAAATACAAGGACAAGAGGAAGATGGAAACTATCGATGCAATGATAAACAGGAAGAAGATGCAGTCCTTTGTTGACATATTTCTGACAGATCTGAAGAATAAAGACAGTAACAGTGATTCACAAATCGACAGGCAAGAAATGCACAGTGTTTTCGATGAGGTATGATTGCTATGTAATTCTATCAATCAGTACGTAGTTTTAAATGTTATGTACAGTTTTGCTCTGTAATAGTAGTACCCACTGGCCGCATCTGTTCACATATTTCAAAGAGTCATGGGTCATTCCAATTATGCTCCCATTCGTGTGGATTGAGGTCATACAAAACATGACGGCCTCGGCGCTCTCTTCGCGGTCCGACCAATTTCAGTCGCAGAGAGAAGCAAAGAGAGCGCAGAGAGAGCGTAGTGAGAGCGCCGTCATAGATATGGGGGCCTTGCACCCTTGATTTCATAGCTTGAATATGATGCGAGAATTCTTGTGGAAAAAATAAAACAAACAAAACAAACAAAATTTCGTTCTCTATTTCCGTAATTTGTTGAGTGAGCTGTGAAATCGTTGGACATAAACTTTGCTGACATGTGGGTTTTTGGTCGCGCAGAGCGCGCCGTAGATTCCACTTTTTCATGGAGTTCGGCGCTCTCTCCGCGCTCTGACCAATTTTAGGTCGCAGGGAGAGCGCCGTGAGAGCCCGTCTAAGTGGAATGGAGGTATAGAAAAACATCCCTTGCTAACTTGAATATGTCCCCTCATTGTGATATCATATATCATATATAGCCTTATTGTGATTATATCCCAAAACATTGCAAACTAGTGCACTGTGCACGTGGTCTCTTTTTATCTATGTTGTAAGCAAAAGTGGAAAATTTATTGATTTATAGGATATGTCATTTAAGACATTAAAACAAGAAATGTACATGATATATAAAGTCGTCTTAACAATAACATTGATATTCTGTTTATCGAAAGGCGTGCGCGGATAAGCTGTGTGGTGATTATTGGAAATATTCCGTCGATCAACTCTTTGACCAAATGGACACTGACAGGGACGGACAGGTTTGTAATTGTACAGTCTTAAAAGACAACTGCACTTTTCTCTGTAGCTTGGTATTGAGGCCAGATCTGATTACGTTGCTTGGCTCAGATCTAAGAAGCAATATCTTTTTGTATTATAAAGAATTCAGAATGGGAGATTAACCACACTGCCATTAGAGATTAGCACCTTCTTCAATTCAGGTAAAAACCAACAAACCAAGCTTAAGGCTCAGGCGAAGAGAGGTCATTCAGTCCTGCTTTATTGGGGACTACCTAACGATCATTTTAAGGAATTTGCACTAAGCTTGTATGGAATTGTTTCCCTTCTAGATAACCTACCTTGAGGTCCACGAATTCTTTGGAAACAAGGGTTTCCATTGGTTGACGGGTCCTGTGGGAAATAGGCAAGAAGAAGGCACGAGCTCGAGGTTAAACCTGCTGGACTACGCCGCGAAGTATTTGGACCTCTTCCATGCCCACACCAAAAAGATCTACCATAAGGTGTGTACACAATCAGCTCTCCTGATGCTAAAATGATATTGTCCTTTCTCATGCTGGAAGCAGCTGGATCATCAACTGTGGGTAGATAAGGGCAGATAAAAATTCTAAGATTTCAGATATACAACAAAAAAACTATATGCAGTAGTTGAAGTGTAAGGTAATGTAATAGGAAGAAAATGTCATTGTGATAAGTTTTTAATGGAATAGAAATAACTTTGGTAACTGTTTTGCGATAAAGTTTGACTTTGAATGTTCATGGTTGCCCGTGTTGAACAAAATGCATACTTAGTTCAAGTTTGTTATTTGTTATTGTTATGTACTGTAGGCTGATGACATGAATAGAACTATTGGTGTGGACAGCGACTATGTGAAGACGACAGACTTCAAACTGAAGTACAGGGACAAAATCTTCCTGTTCAAGGTTTGCTGACTAATATTGTTTAATATTGTTCTATTATCCGATTAACACGTGCTCGTAAGCATTTTGATGTAGCATATGAATTATGATCATATAAAAATCACGATCTGCAGTAAGATATATTACATACTCTAACTGCTAAACGTCAACACTAAGGTCCAGCACACGCATTGGATAAAAAAGCATGACAGTTTGCATTTCAGCAACAAAATATTTTCTTCCAACAGAGAGGAGCCAGTGGTGCCCGCGGCTTTTTACGGACGTACATCACAAACGAAAACCTGCACCCTAGAAGGGGGCGACCCCGATGATTGTTTGAGGTCAGGACAAGATAGATTGCGATATTGTTAGCTACGTTTGTGTGTACATGTATGTAAAACATACATACATGCATGTATGTGGAAAGACGAAGATCATGATCAAGTTTGGGCCTTCTGGCGGGTTTTCTTGGTACCACACAGCAGAACGGTCTTGGTATGTGTTGTCCTGGTAGCTTATGTTGATATTTTCGTATTTAATAAGGACATTTTAACAAAGGTTCTGGAGAAAAATACGTGGTACTAAATCGACCCAGACAGCCACACCAAATTCTATAGACGGTTGTTCTGGTTCAGAGAAGATGGCAGGTCTTTGGAAAACCCATTTTGAGACTCTTTTGAATTCAGTAAATAACCAGACTCAATGCCGACTCTTTTGATATGCAAATTTCGGCACAGGAAGTAATGGATACTATTAAGAACCTACCCAATGGAAAAGCCTGCGGGTCTGATGGAATTTCAAATGAGCATTAAGATATGCAGGACCAAAACTGAGTGCCCAGTGCCCACCTGTCTATATTATTCTCGTCCGCTCTTGTGCATAACCTTTTATCTGGTAAGTGGTATCCTTTTATATACTATATTAGTACCGGTTGTTTAAACAAATGTGGCAACATTTTGCCGTTCTTAGTGGACCTGTTAAACGCCGAACAGCCCAAGACAGTCCTCGAGTAACACATGTATATTTATATTTATACTAATGTTTATGCGTGACTTGTTTTTCTTAGAGAATATGATTTATAGCGTTGGAGTTAGAATTAATGTTGTTATCTTGCGCTGATTTTAACAGTTGTACCTTGTGGTTGTTTGCCTAATATGCTATGTTACCTAAGTATCAATGAGTGGAGCTTTTTAACAATGTAATCTAAATCATACATCATTTCAGCCGATAATGGCTGCTACTGTATGTTTTGTACGATGTGTAGTTTGTATCGAAATAAACCATTCATTCATTCATTTCTAGCAGCGACAACTATAGCTGGCCGATAGCCATCGCTTCGGCTTTGTTTAAGTTCTTGGAGGCTATCATACTAAACCGCCTTAAGCCTCAAGTCATCAAATTGAGTATCAGACTCAGTAATGCGAACGTAGGTTGTTATATAGGTGGTCTCCCAGTGAACTACCTTTTTTATGCTGATGACATGTGCTTAATTTGTCCACGCCTGGAGGCTTTGCAAAAACTCTTGAATATTTGTGAAGAATTTGTTTTATGTAATGTAAACAAATCATGTTGCATGTATTTTCCAAGTGCTCGCCTGCCACTTGAGCAGCCTCTTCCTTGTGTTAAATTGTACGGAGAATGTTTGAATTTTGTCACCTCATATGTTTATCTGGGTATTCATATTAATAACAGATTAAACGACGACCGCTTTATTCTTGTCCAGATAAGAGGCCTGTATAGTCGCGCTAACACCATAATATGCAAATTCGCATATTGTTCTCTTTATGTTAAAAAGACGTTGTTTAAATCTCACTGCTCCTAACTCTTTGCCGCACAGTTATGGGTCAGAGTTGTATGTATAGTACTAGAGTTGTATCAAAGTGTCGAATGGCTTACAACAATTGTTTTCGCATCATAATGTCATTACCCAGATTTTGCAGTGCCAGTGAAATGTTTGTTTACAATAGGACTGACACATTTGACGCTACATGGCACAAACAATGTTATTCTTTCATATTCCGTCTGTACAAGTCCTCAAACAACATTATCCAATCTATTCTCAGATCCGATGTAATATTCCACAACAGATTCTTCCGCAATATCTGGGCCCGTCTGTACATGTATACAGACATATCATTACCTTCGCCAAGAAGGTTATGTTTTCAGTAGCGTTTGTGTGCGTGTGTGTTTGTTTGCAGTTTAGCAACATAACTCAAGAAGCAGTGGAGGGATTGGGATGAAAGATGGTAGTGGATAGGTCTTCATGAGACCTAGAAATGATTAGATTTTGGGCCCCTGGCGGCTTTCCTAATAGGCCTTCCTAATAGTATTCCATAATAGGCATATGGAACACTTGTGACATAAATAATCAGCAATAAGAGGTACATCAAAATATGTAGATTATGTAAATGAAGACCTAATTTGCATGATTAATTGAAAATTGCTGTTATTTCACAGTGATAGCTGCCAGGCAGTTCATACTTGCCACATTTGGAAGTTAGTGAAGGTGACATCAATGCACATAATTTATTCAAATCAAAACCTCATTTGCACAATTTATGAGAAAGTGGTACAATAGCCTTCTCTGTTACAATAAGGCTGTGATTGGGTCGATAATAATTGTTATGATCAACTGATATAATCCATGATGGAAATAAAATGAGGATCTTATTTTCGTAATTAATGTGAAAAATGTATGATTTTGTCAGTTAATGGTTAACATCAGTTGGCGAAAGTATGAGGTCGTGGAACTCTGGTTACTGTTGTTATTGTGTGTATTTTATTTGTATATTTTTACATGGGCGATTCATGCCTGAAATGAAGAAAGAAAAGACACGTTTGCCGCATTGTAAGTTACTAAAGGGAAATATCATTGGTACAACAACATTCTTTGTCAAGGTAAGGACTTGATTAAGGTCCTTGGTTAAGGTATGACTTTCAAACGTTGGCCAACATGCGAAATTTAGTTAGAGAAAATAATCTATTGATGTAATCATTTTCATAACCAATAAGATACCTTACAATGATAATGATACATCTCCTTTAAAGTTTAATAATGATTTGGCAAGGTATGAGATTATTGTTGCTTTGTTGACTTGTGTGTGTTATTGATCTTATAGTGTCGCCCTTTAATTTGTGGAGTTACTTGAAAAGTATATCTTAATTGTTCTTTAGTGTGTTCTGGTCCAAGTTAGCAAATTGAATCTGCTGTAGATATGTTGTAGTAAGAGGGTATATATAATATGTAATGATCTGTTTGTGTACAGTACAGTAGAAAACCCTCCTATCTTCAACAACATGAAATAAAACACAATCATGTAGACAGCGAAGTGTGCAGTGGTGAGTTATTTATTTCCTGTTACTTTAATACAGCAGACAGATTACCCATACGCGTACAGATTACCCATAATGTTATTAATTTAAACCGTTTGATTACGCTATTACAGGAAAGGGCATATTACTGTGCCATTGTTGCCCTGAAGAAGGTCGTTTGTGAAAACTCCTTTTTATTGAATAAGGAATATTTCTATAATTCTCTTGCAAACCTGATGGAAATGATTAATGGATACTGAAAGGAATATGGCTTTATTTGCCGAATTCAACATATGTCCCTTGGTGTGAGAGTTTGTTAATGGGATAATAATGTACTCATATTAGGAATAGATGGAGTAATGATAAATAATTCGAGTCAGTAATTGTTCACATAGGTATAAAAAGCACATTTTATCTTATTGCCACTCTGAAATGGTTTATTTTCTGCCATACAGTACTAGGAAATCTAGTTGAATTAGTTTTAGTCTTCTAACAACATGAGGTAATGACGAAAGTTTAATAAATCTAATGATGATCATTCATAGGCGCACAGAGTGTTCAGTCTACGAACTAAACTCCTATTTCATTCTTTGTGAGATCATGCATGATACATGCATATTCTGAAACGTTTTAGGAGTTAGATGTCTCAGTTGTCGAACTGAAACATGGCCTTGGAGATGACTCCCTTCCTGAGCTGCGCGATGGCCTCCTGGTACTCCTGCAGGCGGAACATCTTAATGCCCAGTCGGGAGAAGTCGCTCAGGTAGCTTCCCGACATGCCCCGCGCCAGACCCCCACGACCTTGGGCATGGTGAAGGGGTTGATGAGACAACCGATGATCTTCAACTCCTTCTGGTAGATCTGGAACGGGTTGATGGTGATCTTGGAGTTGGTCGGACAGCAGCCGAACTGGAGGAAGGTGGCTCCGGAACGGAGCCAGCAGAAAGCCTGGAAAAGTGTAAGACGAAATAAGATTCCGCTTTTCTGTAATATGTTCGTTCTGTGAAGAGAAGTTGTCTTCGATCTGTAAAACGTGGGAAAATTAGGACTGAGGTCTTACCTGCTCGATCGCCGGCGGGAAACCACTGCAGTCCACGATGACGTCATACCCCACTTCCTCCACATCAGCCCCGTCAAAACGTGACTTCAGTTCGTCTGGGTGAACCGCCTGGTACCTTTGGGATCAACAGAATTTTGAGGCCTTTAAAATTTCATTCATTTAATCTAATCTAATCTAATCTAATCTAATCTAATCTAATCTAATCTAATCTAATCTAATCTAATCTAATCTAATCTAATCTAATCTAATCTAATCTAATCTAATCTAATCTAATCTAATCATAAACACAGGATGCGTTTTAACAGACAAATAGTTGGCGTTGGGTTTGTTTAACCATTTAATATGTCATCCATTCTAATATCTGTCTCCAAACAGGTACTAGGTGACTTCTGTCAGAAATCCTTCCCTAAAGGGATAATCTAATTAAGCGAATCGACCAATGAAAAGCCTTACCCCAATCCAAGTTCACCAATCAGCTTGCGCCTGGCATCAGCAGGCTCACTGACTGTCACATCTCGGTAACCCTGGCAAAGAGAGATAGACAGATACATGTATTTTATTTGCCAGCTCGAAGTCTTTAGAGAAGAACGTAAAAATTAGAATAGACCTATCCTATAGCTCGGGCCATCCCCGTCAAAACGTACAAATACAAAGATACAAATTCAGATACATTTGATTGTATTTATCGATATGCCGCCACTCTCTCATTGGTCGAAGTGCTAACCGCCCCGCTATGATTGGTTGAACTGCTATTCGGTGCACACCTTGTAGTGGAAGATGGTTGACCACAGCACGCCGATGATCCCGGCCCCCAGGACCAGGATACGGGAGTCTGCGGGCGGGGTGCCCAGGTTGTCCCACCCGCGCATCAAGCACGACAGCGGCTCGCACAGGGCGCCGTGCTGCAGTGTCAGCTCCTCCGGTAGGAGGTACACCTGCTCGGTCGGCACCACGCAGTACTGGGCGAACCCGCCGTTCTTACGGAGACCAACGGTGTACCTACACAATGTAGGTGAACAGAACCGAAATAAGTACTAGAAACATTAATAATTGTCATACCCCAGGTTGTATATATCAAAACATAACAAATATCTAAACCATTAGCATTAGAAGTTTAGAATCCATCCGTAGTTTTGAGCACCACAACAGCGTACTTATATATACCGTCTACCTACTGACAAACACTGTGTTTCAGGTAAGATTGTGATCATCTTTGCCAAGGGACGGGGGAAAAGCGTAAAGAAACGTTCCAATAACGTACTGAATGGAAAGAACTGATTGGAAAGAACATTCAAGACGGCCAGCTATACTGAGGGAGGCAAGGCTTAAGAAAAGAAGAGAGACCCACGTAGACAGCCCAGTTTGGCAGTAGTTGGGCTTCCCTGAGGCACAGTACCGGCACCCCGCACAGCCCTTGTTCGGGTCCACACACACCCTGTTTCCGACCTGGAAGTCCTTCACCCCCTCGCCGATTTCTGTGGGAACGGTACATGTGTTAGATAAAGTTAACGGCGGGGTCACGTTCGTCGTGCTTTTTTGATGCCGTAGACTTTTCAAGCAAACTACAGAACAGAACAAACCGCCGACGTGTCGATATGATCTAAGACAGCCTCTTCCGCAGGAAGCTAATCATGCAGGACAAATGCATGGCTATCCCAAGAATGCATGCAACTTGCAATCGTAGGGCAAATTCTACCTGATAACATAACACTACACAAAGCTGCGTACATATGACATGCATGGCCAATGATATAATTCAACTACTAACATTACACATTTCGTTGAAAGAACGTGAAAACGAGGACTGAGCTTTGCGGCTATGTATGTTTACAAAACACAATTCTGTTGGCTTCTTTATCACTCCTTACATCTCAGTAAGATATATACTGTATGTTTAGTCCCAAACCTGTGATGACACCAGAGAACTCATGTCCCAAGACGACCTGCTCAGCAGACGCAAACTCCTTCTGGATGATATGGAGATCTGTACCGCACACCCCGGCATAGGCCACCTGGGGGTGGGGTGAGGGCGAGGCTAGGTGAGACTTTGGTTTGCATTGTGTTGTTGCCTTTGCATGCTTGATACGGAGGGCTTGTTTTCAATGTGTGTCTTTTTATTCTTGTTTGTGTTGCCGTAGTTATTCCCACTTCAAAGAAGCTACGTCCATGGAAAAGGAAAAAACTGTCACAAAGTCCTACCTTAATGACCACCTCGCCAGGTCCGGCTTTCGGCACGTCCAGTTCGATCAATGACAGCTGTCCTGCTGTGGCGTTCCACTGGAGACCCTGCATCGTCGCCGCCATTTTCCTATCTTCTTTACGTGTGAGAACGTATTCGCATCAAATCTAAGACTTTGTAAATAAACATTGCAACGATAAACCAATATAAATTTCAATTATTTTTTTTACTACAAGACACGCCCCCGTCCAATGCAATAATACGATTTCCTGAAGATTTTGCAAATCATTTCCTGATTTATATAATAATGTCGATTTTGCTGTCAACGTTCCAAAAATGTCGACGATCAATCAACCCATACAAGAGACGTAAACGGCGCATTCCTGTGGACATTCTATTGCTCGCATTCTATACCATTAGGCTCCCCCCTGAGGCGTCACCAAAACCCATTCTGCCACCCTTGTCGGCTCACCTTTTAGCAGCAGTGCCCCAACCCTGACCCCATTCTCTTCATATTTACTCGGTGTGGGTAAAAAGGCCGACTAACCGCTGCAGTGTACATACAGCGCGGGTAAGACTTACGCGACACAATTGTTAAGTCTACACTATGTAACCGTTTATATTTTCCATCAAAACACCTGTCGGCTTTCACAGCGTCAGTGTACAGGGTACCTGCACTGAGTTGTTTTTATGGTGCGAAAAAGCATTTCAAAAGACAATGCGAAATATGCGATGCTTCATAATCTTTTAAATATTCTACATGTTTCCTTGTTTGAAGTAAACATCGATCACTGATAATGAGCAGATCTACATATGATAGGTCCTACACATCATGCAGAATTGGGTGATTTTGCAATGCATTTCAGGGAGTGGATAAACTCAAGTATCCAGCGCTCAAGTTCGAGTTTCACCTTAGCCAAGTATAACCGGCATAAAACACGAGAAATCTATAGTTACTAAAGTCAACTGATTTGTATGTACATATAACTTGTTTTCTAAAAGAAAGAAGCAAATGTCAGTTTCCCCAGGCGCTTTGGTACCACTTTATGGAACCAATCAAATAGATGGACACATCCAGGCATTAATGCATAATAACGGCACATGTGCACGTGGAACTGCATTAATCACGTATAGTGGCTAGCTATAGGCCCCCGTCATGATGAAGAAAGCCCCAGATATTAACTTCCCCTCGACAACTTACCTCGTAGAAGTCTTGGATCAGAAGAACCGTGGATTGGTTGACACCGTGGGTTATATATTGGGGTGCCGTGTGCAAAACAAAGATTTCTTTGACAGGTTGTTTTCGTATGTGGGTCACAGAGCGTTTACGTGTTTTCTGTCGCGATTCATTCATAATTGAAAAAGTGATGTGATTTTATAATTGGAATACGATGCACGAATCTAAAGTATTATTTGAAAGATATCAAAACACATAAAATGTTACAGTAACAGACGCATTCTTTATCCGTAAAATCCGTTGGAAAATATGTCAAAAGTTGGTATTGCCCTTTAAATACCTAATCTGTATGGACATGTCCGAGGCTAATTTTCTAAGCCTAAAATCTAATATATTGATTTCCACCCCTTACACACTCTTCACTCTGCAGCCCAGAGGAAATCAAAAGCCACTTCATAGCACTTGTTTGACATGATGGCAAGCAACCATTTTAACAACCATTTTGATTAAACTCAAGATCACATGCCAAACATTAGCCTGGAATCCAGTTCTGTTACCCACTTTCAAGGCCAAGTTGGCCCCAATGTGGACTTTGGAATCGGAAATCTAACGATACTGGGTTCTAGGCAACCTAGAATTCAGCTCTATTAATACATGGCACAGCAAAGAGCCTAAAATCATTGCACCATGAGGATATTATAGTAACAGAGAGATCTAGTTCCGGGAACAGATTGTTACAGGGGAGCAATCGATATCAGCTGACACGTCGGCACTGCAGCTGTCTGCATTGGACGCCGTTTTGTCAAGCCAAATTGAAGTGTTACTAAACCGTCTACTCACATTTAACGTACACCATAAGATGTCAGTGAAATCCTACAGGTTCTAGTTTTTATTGAGTAGCTGTTAGAAACTGTCAATCATTTGACTTAAAATATGGCAAAGTGGAGGCGCCGCTCAGGACTGTGTCCCGGTGCAGCCGTGCTGTTGTTTGTAGCGGTGTACGCCTTCCTGCTGTATAAACTATTTCCCGATGATTCTACAGTCGACGACATTCCTCGTATTCTAGAGAGGTAAGACATCCCTTGGTACACCAGTTTTAGTAGCTACAGAGATAGAAGATGGCTTGTGTCAATTCACATATGAGAGAATGTTGATCATCAGATTATGTATCACGAAAGAGCAATGGTGTTGTTTTGATCCGACAAATGAATATTACACACGATTGTGCAATTGTTTATTTTTTACCTTCGTGACGGAAGTATTGTTTTGGGTGCCGCTATGCTAGGTTGTATGTTTGGGTTGCAAAGTGACTGGGCAGAGCTTGGGTTTCACTTCATTGACAGGGTTTGTCCCGGTAGCTCAAGGTCGCCAGGAACATATGAGACATAGACCATGTTGTTATAACGGAGTATGTTTCGTCATACAATTCTACGAGTAAATTCATTAATGCAAAAATACATATTCTTTCCGGAAATTTAAAATCTCTGATGATTTTCTCCCTTGCACAATATATAGGGATGAGCAGGAAGAAGATAAGATGTGCGCCAAACCGTGTCCTTGTCCCTCTCGCGAGCCAAGACGCTGTGAGGAGAAGACTAACTTTGTCTTCGTCAAAATGCACAAGTGTGCCACGGAGATGCTGACGTCAGTCTTCCATCGTTACGGTGACGAGCGAGATCTCGAGTTTGTCATTCCCAGAGGTCCGCTAGGGGACTGGTATCTTGGCTGGCCTTATCCAATCACAAAGCAGATCTATCGACCTTCTAAATCCGGTACGTTCAACATCATGTGTGAGCACGTCGTATTCAATAAGGCGGCTATGTCAAAGGTCATGCCGGAAGATACCGTTTACCTCACCATCCTGAGGGAACCTTTCAGTCATTTCAAATCGAGCTTCAACTTCCATGGCGTCGCAAGGATTGTTGGGATACATGGCGATGACCCTATGGACGAGTTTTTCCGCGCGCCTAATCTGTACGATGACATCTACAGCTCGACTCTGAAAGCTGGGATTCCGAACGGTGTCTCGGTTACCCGCAACTTCCTGGCACATGACCTCGGTTATCCCAGGCAGCACTGGGAAAACATGACCTATGCCGAGGAGTTCGTGAAATACATAGACCAGGAGTTCTACCTTGTCATGATACTTGAGTACCTTATGGAGTCCCTGCTGTTACTGAAGCGTCTGATGTGTTGGGAGATCCAAGATTTACTGCACTATCCTATCAACGTCATGACATACGGCTACAAACATGACCGGCCTGGACATCTCATCAAGAAACACAAACACTGGAGCAAAGTTGACTACCTATTGTACGACTTTTTCAACATATCACTGTGGGAAAAGATCAAAAGACAGGATAAGAGCTTTTTCGAGGAGCTGGAGTATTTCAAAACGGTCCAGAACGCAACCATATCGTACTGTTACTCCTCAGACACGACTCCACTGGTCTTAGACGGGTCAAAGTTCAGTAACGTCATCACCATCACACGACATTACTGTATGAGAATGATGAGGAACACGCCACAGTACTTGGGAGACATCTTCAAAAGGAGATATGACGGGACTGAGTACACCATACATAAGTTATGGCCTTGGGTATGAAGTGATGATGCAAGACAAGACTGAAGCTCGGCGTTTAGCTTGATGATGACATTTTAGATCATTAACGTGGACATAACGAGCAAAAATGTTGATGAAGAGTTATCATGTATCCATAAGCCTTTGCCTACTTGAATGAATGGACAGAAAGAAAACGCCACGTGCACGATTGTAAGAATGGCATGTATGCAATACCCTCCTCAATCGCTAAGGGTCGTGTGTTGCTGAACAGTTCATAACTCAGTAGATTATATATAATATTATGTACCAGTAGATACAAGTGACAAATGTAACAAAGTATGGCCTCGACAATTAATAAAACAATGTTATCTGCTAATCTAACTTTTCCTAGTGATTTGACCGCGTCACGCGTTAATCACGTGACTGCTGCGTGACGACAGGATTACCAACCTTCCCAAGGTTGCTATCCCGTCAGACCGGTTCAGTCCGCAGTCTTTCACTATTTCATCTCACAAAAGGTAGAAGTAAATCCAACATGGCCGAGGCAAGTGATCTTTTTTTTTATGATTTTTCACCCTTTGCCTTCATTAAACACTGTACTTGTATCACATGATGATTAATGATGATATCACTTGTTAGTTACAAAGAGTTATATGTTAGAATGACAAAAGGTATTTTCTAGCTTCGCCTATGGCTGTTGTTGTATATTAAAATATTCTTAACCCATTTTTTAAAATCTACAACTGATTTATAGTTTGTAGTGCACGTATTTCCAGCATACATAACAATACCATGCTTTTATACTTTCTTAGACTTACTTGGTTAAGATAGTTACCGTGTATGTATACTTAATTGTGTAGTGACGCCCTCTCTTGTGGTGTCTAAGAATATAAGAGGGACTGTTGATAATATACCCTATGTCAGGGCACTTAATGTCGAACTATACTACGCTGAAAGTGTTCCCAGATGTATGCTAGATAATCACAAGCTTTCATACCGTAATCGGCCAGGATAATCATGTGACCGTGAATTATTAATCATATAGGTAAGTTTAGAGTGAAGTTTGTTTCTGATACATGCCTTCATGTACGTACATTGCTATTGATATTAGAGGTATGTGAAGGGAACTATTTTCACTTTTACAAGAACATAGAATTCAACTACGACCGCCGAAATATATTTTTGGCTGACGAAAATCTTCTGAAAAGCCTTGATGCAATTGTTCGAAAGTACTATGGGTCACTGGATGTGTCACGCGATCAGTGGGTGTGTCCAAAGATAAGGCTGCGTCTAAAGCCTGAACTACGTGACAATATTCTGGCAGCATAGCTGTATCACTTCAGTCACTCAACCAGAGGCAGATGAATGCTGATTTTCTGTTTCGTTGAAATATCTAACATATACACTTAACTGTGACTGTATACACAGTATGAATAGATTTAAATGTCTAATTCATATTTTAAAAAATATATAAGGGCTTAAATTAGACATTTAAACTTATTCATACTGTATATACAGTCACAGTTTTGACACTTTCCAACACAAATGGACAGAAACATGTCATTGAAAACTTTAAATCTGTCCCGCCCTTTTGGAATGTTTGAACCTCACAAGTCAGATCAAAATGGCTAGAGCCCTTGCAATAATTCTGAATATTGCAGCTAATTTCATTTCAGCTCTAACTAGTTTTTATTCTATCCAGGGCACCGTCCAACCTGCTGACGATTTCGACCCGGAGAAAGATGCTGAAACACTACAGGAAGCCATGGGGGGCTGGGGTATGTGAAAAAAATGTTTAGCTTTGAATGACAATGCAGTGCAATAATAAAAGAATAGTGCTATGGATGTTTCATGTTCGGGTAGATTTCACGCATGTATACAGAGTAACTCATCTATCGTAGACGACGAGAGAACTACGGATAAAAATTGCATACTTGCTATATAGATGAGGTATACGGGTTTTTTTTTCTACTTCAGAGTGCGGAAGTATTGTTTTGGGTGGCTGAGCTATGGGTTCGTGTGTCTGCTTGTCCAGAAAGTAGGTTGACAGCAGGTGGGTAGGGGAAAATAAATTGGCAGAATGGCAGGAGGTCAAAAGGTCAGCCACAGGGAATGGGTCAAATTCTGAAGGGCACGGAAACCATTTCCGAGAAGTCTGAAATCTCGGCTGTCTTAGGTACTGAGGAGGCGCCAATCATCGAAATCCTGGCCAACAGAAGCAACAGTCAGAGGGTCGAGCTAGCCAGCCAGTTCAAGACTATGTACGGGGATGTAAGTGCACTTTATATTTTTTGCTCTTCGCATGATAGAAATTATCATGACTGGCTCAGGGAATGGGTTATATATAGAGAGAGATATGTAGAACTTTATACATAGGGTAGTCATGCTTGAATATATGTATAATTTCCATTGGATTTTTACAGGCGATGACTGTGTTTGGCTATACCCTAGCTTACTTATGACCCGAAACAAAATCAGGTGCAATGTAGGAGCTAAACGCCAGGTTACGTTGTCCTTGATAAATGGCAGTTATCATGACACTATTCTGTCTGACAGGACCTGGTTGATCGTCTGAAAGGTGAGCTGAAGGGCGACTTTGAGGAGACGGTGTTGGCACTAATGACGCCCCCTGTCGAGTATCAGGCGCGCTGCCTGAAGGCCGCGATGGAAGGGGCGGGGACTAGTGAGGATGTTCTGATCGAGATCATGTGTACCAAGAACAACCAGGTAAAGCACAAGATTGTGAACAGGTCATGCTTCAATTTTACTTTTAGACGAAGTATTGCAAATAATAAAATAATACTGTCATTGAAAACCTATTGTCATTAAACAATGCAACTTGACGTTACCTTTTAGTGATCGTTATTCTGTTTTTATTGCTTCTGACAGGAATTGGAGGATCTGAAGACTGTCTACAGTGAAGGTGATTGTAACCATTTGTCATGCTCTAGTCTACAGACAGGTTTGTTAGAAAATTCTGGACAAAACGACAATACATGTATATGTATATACTCGTGCATGTCGTGCAGACTAAACGCGCTACATGTATCCCTAACTTTGCTGGAGATCATTGTGCCGTCATGGGAAATCTATCTTCAAGTCTCTTCAATCAACCCCCTATGCCAGTCACTAAGTGTGTATTGATGTATATTTATACGTTAGATGGCGCATTGAAGTTCCAAAAAGGTGTAAACAGATAGTGAATAAACGTTCCCCTTTTTAAATTTCCTGCAGTGTACGACGATAACAGTCTAGAGGAAGACATCGAAAGTGAGACCAGTGGTCACTTCAAGCGTCTGCTCGTGTCACTCTGCAACGTAAGCCTATTTTCCCCTATCAGGATCAAAATGGTAGTCATCTATATATGACCCAATTTTTATGTAGCCATGTTTGAGTAAAACAGGGACACGATAAAGGACTACAAGAATTAGCCTATTAGAATTCGTAGCGAATGACATGCATATAAAGCGAGAGCGTTCTGTGAACAAATAAAAGCAAAGTATCATTTCCCAACCTCAATTATCTTGCTCAATCTTCTGGTGGCTCATTTTAGGTATAACTACATATTGGGAGAATAGGACTATTTGTTGTGTGAACCGTTGTTGAAATCACTTTTAAAGTACATGTGTACCCCGATATACTCTGATGGAAAATCTCAATATTGAGCAACTGAACGAAAGCTCATTTTACGATCAGGAAACATCAGACGACATATTTGTAATGATTTTCCTTTGTCTATGTTATACAGGCTCAGCGAGAGGAGGGGGGGGAAGACGACGTGGATGAAGGTTTGGCAGAAGAGGACGCCAGGGAAATATACGAGGTGCAGATCAAATATGAGCAGTAGATAACTTCATAGAGCCCATCTCCACCACGGCTGGGACCGCTGACCGATCAAATCTCTGACAGATCATTATCAACTTAAAACAGAGAAAATATTACGTTTTGTGTATCTTCTAAATCTGCAACATTAAGGGTCACAGTGATACACGTTTGGTCGCAGGACGGACGCTGTCTAGGGGAAAGGGGCCTATCGTAAATGAAGCGTTCCTTTCTTCCAGCACTATGGCTTTGACATAGGTAGTATTTTCCAAGTTGTTTTTGTTTGTTTGTCTTAGGCGGGAGAAGGTCAGCGCGGGACGGACGAGTCCAAGTTCAACTCCGTGCTGGCGCTGAGAAGCTGGGCCCACCTGCGTGTTATGTTCGACAAGTACAATGACGTAAGCGTTCATGTTTAGTTGCTGTCAATAGAGTACTCATCAACGGACACTCACAGATTATTACTTGTTTCATATTCATAGAGGAGCTAACTTTTTTTACGCATCTCAATAAATCAAATCAAATCAAATCAAATCAACGTATCTTATGTCAATAAGCACTCTTGGGCAACTTGAAAGTGTAAAATTGATTTAATCGTAATGCTAATCTTTCTTGTGTGTCTCATGTGCAAAATTGTTAGTTATATTGTTACACAACTTTCATTCATAGTTAAATACTACGAAGAAGTATGAAACTAGAAACATTTTGAAAATTCCTGACGTCAGTGACGTTTTTCTTGATACCGTAGCTGGCGGGACAGTCCATTGATAACATGATAGATGAAGAGTGTGAAGGGGCTGTGGAGGACGGATATCTGGCGATTGGTAAGTCGCAGTACACGTATCTACATCCAGGTACGGAAGTACAGTTTTGGGTGGCTGAGTCGTGGGTGCAAGATGAGTGGGAGGAGATTTTACAGAGAATGATTAAGTCTGAAGTTGACCCAATACTAGTACATAGAGGACACGGAGTGGCTCGTGATGCTACACATCACGAAACCCCAAAACTGTTTTCTGGAGGTCTGTCACAAAAGCCCAAACCTGAAAATTATAATTACTCGACTTTTTTTTTGTGGGTTATGCTTTTTGTAACGGAGACACTAACCAACCGTCTACGAGTTATATAGCATGTGATGCTACATATACCTGTTTGCTTGCTCCCCTCTTCTCCAGTGAGTTGTGTGAGGAACCTCCCCGGATATTTCGCTAAACGGATCAACGACGCTTGTAAGGGCTGGGGAACTGACGACACTACTCTTATCCGCTGTATTGTGTCGCGCTCAGAGGTAAGTCACTACTGAGTCTACGACATCAAATTGTAGGTAGGGACACATATATATATCCGACCATGTCACAATCTTCCCAATCAATATAGTTATGGACTTGTTGGTTACAAGTTATTAGAGGTTTAGTATAATGTAGTAAAAATGTAAAATAAGCAAGTGTTCAACTTCCACATATCTATAGGTTGCCATAAACATTGTACCTGCTGCAATTCTTCTATAACGTCACTCTTGACTGTCGTGTTCCTCCCCTGTCAGATTGACCTGGTGCAGGTGAAGGAAGTGTTCGAGGCCCGGTACGGCCGCACCATGGCGGAGGCTGTGACTGATGAGTGTGATGGAGACTACAAGAACATGCTGCTCGCCATCATCAAGTGATAGGTTGCAAATTCATGCCCGAAGTCTAATCCCAAGTAACATGAAAAACATTTAGTGACGAATAATTAATAATGTAACATGTGACTACTTTGGACTAAATTCTGACTTCATTGGTCTGATTGGAATAGCTTACTAATCAACTGTTCACCATGTTTATTAATGCTCTATCACGGGTGATCAAAGGGGGCAAATGGAAGAATAAATCGAAATATGCTTGTATCCGCGTACAAAATGTGCTCCTGTCGATCTTAATGAACAAAAATGTTTCGCTTGGTCCAAATTACTTCGGAGTACATCGATGAGGTTGATACTGAAGGAAATGTCCTTTTATCTAGCATCATTAGCTTATGTGAATGGGGATATGCATAGTATTTTGCGTAGATGTACAAGGGTGTTATCATAACTACAGTTATAGTTGGTTAGGACATGAATAATAAAATATGACTGTATGGTCAGGGTGTCTAATTGTCTACTTTTCTTATCTCATTTGAGACGGAAGTATTGTTTGCGCTAATTTATGATAGATTGGAATGTTTGGGTTCTGAAGTGAGGGGCGGAGATTGGTATTTAATTTGATTGGCAGGGTTTGACCAGGTATACTCTGAGTTCAAGGATCATGTGGTCGTCAGGAATGTATAAAACAAGCCATGGTGTAATGGCGGTGCAAGCTGTAGAAATATATGCATATCAATTGCACGATTTCGTTACCCCATGCGACCTTTTAGAGATCTGCAGGCATAACGGTAAAACGTGATGCGAATGAAATCGATTGTCTAGTCTGAACTAGCTGAATGTGGGCGAAGCTGCTTCTTCCTATCGGCATATCTCCAGCTGTCACCACGTCAGTTCTATGTGATATTTACTCAAGTCTTTTAAAGGATAGAGAAGGCCTTCCCTGGGATCATCGGTAGCATGGCGGACTTTCAGGTTTGTCATGATTATTTTTATCCATTAGTAAGTCTGGACTGGTGAGGGAGGGCTGCTGACCTTCGTTTGGCCAGCCCTAGGGTGGAACCGTTAGCTTATTCGGCTTTGAACCTACCCTTGTGTTATTGTGTTTGTATGGACAACTAGCTGTTGTTAGGTGTGTGAGAACATGTATGTTGAAAACATCGATTTGTTACACCAGGTAAGCTCCGAAATTAAATACCTCAAAGTTCGAATGTTTGACGATTGTACCCTTCAACCTGTCGGTGACCTATAGATGAAATAAGCAATGTTCGATTGCTGCAATTCCAATCTATACACTTCTTAGCATCAAAATCACACAACGTTATCTGCCAATCGTGTACCATCACAGAGGGCTCCTTTGTCAATCAACCAATAGTAGGATACGTAAAATAATTCCATAGCTTGTACGCCAATCACCTTTCTTTATAACCGTCTTTATGCCCGCCCCTCCCCGGTTCTATCCTACTCGATATCCCGGTCACGCTAATACAGGACCCACGCATGGCAACAAGCAAAGTTTATCGACAACGACGTCCATAGTATACATTGAACGATTGAAAGCTAAATCAAAGCTGCTCATCATCACTGTATGTAAAGACGATATGGCAGTCTATCATGTTTCCATAATCGTAATTCTTAGACGTGACATATTTCCAGGAAGACCGAGGGTCTAACATCAATAAGGCGTTAAACAAACCGAGGAGGAAGGTCTTTATACAAACCGAAATCATTTTGCTTCATTTGGAAAAATATTATTACTCACTTAGTCATAATCATAACCAACCAAAGTAAATGGTTAGCATTCTAGACGGATGGAGCGAAAGGTCACGGAATTTATCATTAAGCCAGACACGGAGTATTTGGCACGGGTCCAACCTCATCCGGATACTAGCAGTAGACTTGACAGGCTGGTTCAGACTGGATCAGGGGCAGGAGGGCCGGGCTTTCTGCCAGAAAACATACAAATGCTGCACTGACATATCAGAACGGTCACGACTCAGTAAGCTGTGGACTGAAGCAACAAACTGCCATACTTCGCCAGTCTACACATCTAGGTTACATCGTATTTTAAAGAAATGGGAGTTGATATGTTAAATTACATGTGGTACAGGTCTAGAGCACACGTATCAGCCTGGGGACAGATTTACAAATTTAAAGAGAATTGAGTTAATTTTCAGCTGATGCATTTTGTTTGCCTAGACGAGGCCTAGATCATCAATCAGATTTGACATGTTAGAAAACTAACAATTGATCACGAGTATTAATAATTCATATTAGGAGCCCTATACACATTACAGAATACAATAGGTAACGATATCATAACATACTATATAATTTCATTGGTGACATTATCACGTTTAGGCTTTAAACTGTAAAGGAATGTCCACAGAAGAAATAATTCTTAATGTTTTATTGGGAATTCATGCCAGAAGGCTAATTGCAGGAACAGAAGAAACATTTGGTATATATAAAAAAGCAGACAATTAGTACACATAGAACTACTGATAACTACAAAGAAACTACTAGTACAAACTACTGGGAATAAAAAAAGTGTCTATGTTAAGTTTTAAGTACTGATAATTTGTACACCTGTTCCAGGGGACTATTTTTCCGGCGGAAGATTTTGATGCTGAAGTCGACGCTGAGGCGCTACATGAGGCCATGAAAGGATGGGGTAGGAACCACTGAATTATAGCCTCCTAAGCAGACTTGTGGGGGCTTAATCTTAAAGCTTTCAGGGTATACCATGGTCTTCAGTTTCTTGCATGTTCTTGTTTCCGTCTACGGAGGCTGCGGACAAGAAACCAAGAACCTAGAACTGATATGCCATCAAAACAAAGAGCACACGACCAACCCCCCCCCCCCCAAAAAAACCTGATGACTCATACAATCTACCGAACCAAGTCTAAGTACGACTTAAAACATACTATACCATTTGTTTCTTTGATTTAATCGATTTGCTATTTACCAACTTGCTGGACTAGATTGCAGAAACTCTATAGCAAAACTTCATTCTAGGCACGGATGAAGATCTCATCATCGATGTGTTGGCAAACAGGAGTAACGCACAGCGACTCGAGATCCGGGAAAAGTTCAAGCAGATGTACGGGGAAGTGAGTATGCACTACTCAGAAACTAACATGAAAATAAAGAATGCAAGAAAATGCCCAATCCATATACATGAATGCTAGAGACAATGTTACTGGAGCTCTGTTATTGTATGTAGTTAAAGTCTTGGCGATAACAATGATGGACTTTTCCTTTTTCACCTTTTCATCAAGCATCTAATAGATCGCTTGAAGAGCGAGCTAAAAGGTGACTTCGAGGACGTGGTAGTAGCACTACTAACGCCACCTATCGAATACCTGGCGCGCTGCATGAAGAGTGCCATGAAAGGGATGGGAACAGATGAGCAGGCTCTCATCGAAATTCTGTGCACAAAAAATAACCAGGTATGACAGTGATTCTTGTAATTTCTCAAAATAGCCTAATAGGGACTCAAACTAACATATACAGTTCAATCCGTTCATTGTATAATGATTTCATGTTATACTATACTATATAGATACTGTGTATGTCATAGTATCTGCATTGTGTATTGTATAGCCGGTTTAACCACCCTTCTGCGTAACACAGATCAATATATAGTAAAAATAGGCTGTGTAGATGTAAATCACACAATAAAAATACAAAAAGAGCGCAGAATGTGTAAAGAGTGTGGTATACGGCAATACATTACCGTTAGATATATAATTCAGCACCAAGGACAGATCCGGTGAGACGAAAGCACAATGTGACGATAGCAGCACATGGAGCAGCAGGGGAAGAGATTATACATATGATTGATCACAAATCTGCTAGCTGATTGTTAAAAATGTAAGTTAATTGTGGATTTTTTCCTTTTTTGTTAGGAAATAGAGGAGCTAAAAGCCACATATGCAGAGGGTGAGTTTATCAACGTTACAATCTGTTTGATTTGTGTAATTTATTTTGAGGGTGCCTTTCATACAACGATGTTTATTCAATCACAGTGATTACCGCGTGAAGTTTCCTATCATATATGTATTTTTTTCTTACAGTTTATCTCAATTGAATTAAAGTTTTTTTTTTACGATTTACTTAAATCGTAAAAAAAACTTTAACTTTAACTCTTTTTTCATTTTGCCAGTATTTGATGGTGGCAGCCTTGAGGATGACATTGAAAGCGAAACCAGTGGACATTTTAAGCGGTTGTTGGTCTCTCTGTGCAACGTAAATATCAACATCTTATTGCACCGTGTTCTTTTATGCTACATATTTGTAAACACTAGCTCTCAGCCAAATAACTCGAGAAACATTTCCTTGTATTGTATGACTTTTGCGTTGTATTGTATTAACGCCATGGCTTTAGGTAACCGCAATCGATATCGATTTAAAGTCCTAGTGAATTGAAAAGCGAATGCAATTTCGTCATTGATTAAATAGCATGTCACAACATTTGATGAAGTGAGTTCAACCAAAAGCTGATTGAAACCATGGCCATCACATTCTACAGCTCAGACTGTACTTTTTTCAGGCTGGCCGGGAGGAAGGAGACGAGAATGACGTAGACGACGGGTTGGCCGAGGAGGACGCCACCGAGATATATGACGTAATGCAAGTTTCGTCGGATGACCCTTATGAAAAATACAGTCTCTAGAAGTGAAAGGTGCTATGTTGAAATTAAAAAAATACCAATCCTTATAAAGAGAATATTTATTAGCCTATTGCCCGCCCAACTTTGCAGTTTCGCAACTACGTAAGCTTTAGATATGTATAGTCTTAATGTTTAGTACATGTATTATTCCTTAGGCAGGAGAAGGCCAGCGTGGGACAGACGAGTCCAAGTTCAACTCAGTCCTGGCCCTGAGGAGCTTCCCGCACCTCCATGTCATGTTCGAGAAATATCTCGAGGTACGGGCACGTATCCATATATATATATCGTAGAATTATTCCCCAAGAATGCTCTCAGTTGTGACTCACGATGAGCTTACAACGATCGCACGACACGTGCGACCAGGCCCGTAATTATCCGATCCTATCTCTGTAATTCTGTCTTTAACTTTGTAGCTATCCGGGAACTCCATCGACAACATGATAGACGAAGAGTGTGATGGGGCAATTAAGGACGGATACATGGCCATAGGTGAGTTTTCTCGTAGCTTTTGACACTTATGCCATTTTCGCATTATCCACATTCATCATAGTCCAGTTTGTATATCTCCAATGCCATAGCTCTTATCGACAAGCATTCAGACCAGAAAATGTGACACATCTTTACTTTGTACTTCGCCTTTTCTAGTTTACTGTGTGCGGAACATTCCCGGGTTCTTTGCCAAGCGCATAAACGACGCGTGTAAAGGGCTCGGCACGGACGACTCCACTCTGATCCGCTGTATAGTCTCCAGATCTGAGGTACTTTCATTTTCAGTTTTAAGTCACCATTTTCACGACGCCTCAACGTTTTTTCCTGGTAGTCTATCGTTTTAGACTACCGTAGATATTTTAAGTACTCAATGACGTACTTGAATTCATCACTGAGATAATACATCAACTCGTTTTTGGCACATATTCTGGCTCTATTGACATTTGTATTGACAGTCTCAGAGATACCGTTGTAAATCGTTAATTTTTTTAAGCAAATGGCCACTCAGCAGCTGACATGATAAGATAAAGCATGGCGCATCCTTGGTCCCCGTACAGATCGACCTACAGCAGGTGAAGGAGGTGTTTGAGACCCGGTACGGCCGCCCGCTGTCTGAGGCCATCAAGGACGAGTGTGGCGGAGACTACAAAAACATGCTGCTCGCCATTGTCAAGGATTAAATGATCGGGAATCCTCATAAAATCATCCGTTAAGAAACAGAACGTCAAAACCCAAGGATTGAGGAGCTTCTTGTTTTGTTGTTAGTGGCATATAGCAGCATATGTAAGCTATGTTTCTGCCTGAGCTGACTTAATACTATAACTAGAAAGGCCAATATTTGCTTTGGAGCAAATACAGCGATGGCTTCACCACATTTTACGACATGGCAGGGAAAGAATGAGAAACACAAGGGAAAACAATGCTTTACATTGATATTATAATAACTATAATATGAAGTAACATACAACTAAGACTACAACAGTTGGCTAGCTATTCCCTACATTATTGGTTAGGATTTTTAATTGCATAATGCAAACTGTTGATTTTCAAAAAAAAAAAACGTTCATGCCCCGCATTCCAATGCTGGAGCAGGAAAGCTTGAAATACCTACAAAAACACTTGAATACAGACATACTGTCAGTATGGAAATGGTCTGTGCAGGTGTTAATCAAGTTAAATCCCAACAGCCAATCAGCAAGAAGAAGAGAGGAAAGCTGCATGCCTATTGGTTGATGCCCTGCATTCCATTGTGATGACTCATGCCAAATGTGGTTAACACTGCCCACTGACACAGTAATACATTTGCTATAATACAGCCAAAAAACTCAAATAAAACCATTCTAAAAGCCTGTATCACAAAAATTTAAAAAACGCCTAAGGGTATTTGCCAACTGTACCTCCATACCAAATTTCAGATCCTTAGGCCCCAAAATGAAGAAGCTGAATCCATTTTAAAAAATGGCAGGAGAAGAAGAAGGAGAAGAAGAAACATCAGAGAAAACAATATGGTTTCACCAGACCACTTCGTGGTCTGGTGAAGCCATAATAATAGATCGGTATCATTTCTGGTGACCATGGTAAAGTGATCACGTCATTTCTTTGTTGTCACTTGTTTATGGGTCTTAAAGCGTCTGCATTCCCAGCATAGTGAGTATGGGTGATACAAAGATCTTAGAGATGGCATTTTATTTGGAATGTAGAAAATTTCCCGGATGAATATAATATGAGAAGATAGAAACGAAATACAATCACCGAGGCATGTGGGGTCAGTAATCTTACACCATGGTGTAGACTCTTGCTAAAAATATGAAAGCAATATATAATTCAATATCACACATTTGTAAACTTTATCTTAAACCTTGAGCAAAAATAATTTGACATGTATTTTGGAGATAGATGAGTTAGCATACAAGAAGAGTGTTGTTGCCATTAAGCAATAATGAAAGTCGCTGAATCCCATGTAATGACTTTCATTTGCGATTTTGACAGTGTACATTCTTGTCCCACCCTGAAATAGCTCTCTATGCGTTTATTCTTACACAACACACAGTATTGTAAAAAGCAATATTTGTGCCAAGAAACGATCGAGTTGATCATCACTGTCTGCCTCTTACTACTTGTGTTAATCACTTGTGTAGCGACACAACTATGTGTACGACCTATCTAAAATGTAGGTCACTGACCTATATATATATTACGAACAGGGGGACTACTGCGTGGTAACAGTTTCAAAAAGATGCTCAATTAATCTTCGAGTATTCAAATTTATAAAACCGATATTTGTAGCTCTATGGCAGGCTTAAGTTGTGGATTTGCCTTCTGTATTTTTTTTCTCCAGGCGGTATGAGAAAATGTAGTTTGTGACTCTAGTAAGTATGATTAATCGGATATCTATCGCCCACATCTCTCATCCATCGGAGTCTGGTGGAGCAAATAAGTGGAAATGAGATTCTCGTGACCAGGCGCTGATGACAAGGTCATGACTTTGGCCTCCCGTCAATCAACAGCTCCGTCCCGCTACCATACCAGGAACAGACACACAGACAGGTCAGTGGGACGGGGGCGGCTGGGGAATCTCAAAATAGGTTCTTCTTTTGGTAACGCTGCCAGCAGCAGGGGAAACAAGATGGATCCGCTGGCGTGGTTTACCGGGTTCTTCAAGCACCAGGAAGGAGCGGTATGTACTAGGACGAGGCTATTGTTATATTGAAAGGGTTTCTCCAGATGTTATTTTGCTTGCAGTGCTATTACCAAGCAGCGTTGGTATTCACTACAAATTATTGCAACGGGATGAAGCCGCGTGTTTTTCATGGATAATTGCCTACACTGTGGTATCGTGGGAACAGAACCTAAACGACGTTTTCTTCAGTTTCAAGTTCGGCGTTTAAAGATGTCCTCGCAATAGTAAATTTATGTAATGTAAATTTTTGTAATTTACAATCGATTTTCATAAATCAATTAATTTATGAATGTAGCAATCATCTCCAATCCCCCTCCACCTACCCCCTGCCCCCCTTCCCAACCTGTAGATAAAATGGCGTGTTCCAAAAATTCCGGGTCAAATGTCTGGCCCGCCTACGTCTGTAGCTTTAGAATGCAATAATGAGAAGTTCAAGGTCATTCCGCTAGGTGGCTTATGGTGCCAATTAAACGTTCGTTCTAGAATCCTAAAATAGTTGTGACTTTCGATAAGTCAAAACGACACGAGAATACGTGATTTTTTTTTCTACAGTATAACAATTCAAGTTGCTGATTTACTTTCAGACCAACATCTGGTTTTCCTCCCGTATCACGTGTAATGTTTGCCTCACGTCCGAAGTCTGTAGAACATAATGATGTCAAAGTCTAGGAACGAGTACATGGGTCTAGACAGAAGCCAAATATTGCATTTAGGTTCAAAGAATATTGCATTAATGAGTTACGTTTTGCTGACACGTCTTACAACTTCAAACAGTTCTCTATGATTTCATGAATTGATTATATGTCATACATGCGGATTTCCAGAATATTGATTTAGCTCCACGTCGCACTACGGTCTTTAACATTGATATTTTCGCCAGTTGGTAACTTATCTGTTTGCTTAGCTTCTGGTTAATTTGACTCTTCTGTATCATATTGGAAGTAATGTTAAAAAAAGTCTGGCTGTATGAAAAAGTCTAAATTAGGTAAATACCCCAAGAATCGGTAAAAGGTCATATTGTTTAGTTTTGAAAAAAAATATCTTGCCTCGACCCGGGATTGAACCAGGGACCTTTAGATCTCCAATTTGTCAAGCCGGTATATCGGCTTCCGGGACTTCAGTCTAACGCTCTCCCAACTGAGCTATCGAGGCACATGATGCGAAACGACACGTGATAGTCTCTGCACCTTTATGACCAGCAATGCACCGGTCACATTAAATAGATGCACCATTTATAAGCAGGCAGACACATTTTTCGCTAAAAAATATGTTACTAGCGCGCATACATGTATACTGTTAGCTTGCTTGCAAGCTATTTACAAAGCTTTTCTGTACGACTTTGGTCTCACCCCAATTTCATTTTGTTTTTCAAGAATTGACTGATGTACACATCTTATCATTTATCATAGTCATAGTCATATCACATAAACAAAAGCTCAAAGAAACAAAATATGCCATTTCCTAGCAGTAGTTCCTGCAATAGAATGATCTTTACAATTTACTTAGTGCTTTTAATCGTGGATGATCATTTTCATAGTGGTTTTGTCGCAAATTCCTATATCCCATTGTATAACATTTCAACAGATTGTGATTAATAAAGCCACATTTTGGCTTGTGCTGAAGAGGTATGCATGATTGTATAGAGTTACTTCCGTGTGCGTGTCACTGCGCTGGTTTCCAAACAACAGGTGCCCCCCTTACACACCCTCCGCATGAAACACGCTGTTGACCCTTACCCCCTCCCACACAAACCAGCTGACCGAACAGTTGAACACTACAAGGCGCGGCCGACAGTTTCCCTGTATTTCGTCTATTCTGTTCCGCTCGCGTGTGAACTAACGGTCTCTGCACATAATGGTAAGTCGTACTATTATACCGTACTGTGTTGTACTCCACAGGGTTAAAATTACCATGGTATGACAGTAGCGTGCCACGTACACACACAACGCAGTAGGGCGTTGTCGTGTTCGGTACAGGGCGTCGACCTTCTAGACCTCTGGCTGTCTTAAGAATTGATTGAAGTCGTAAACACTGTCCTAAACACGACACACGGTTTAGGGTTAGTGTGGAAGCAGAATTTCCTGTAGCAGAGGCCCGCCAAGGGCGATGCAGGCAGAGGATTATGCATGTACTGACCCGTGTAATATGTGAAAAGCGCTGTGAGCCAACCATGTTCTTAAGCGTGGGTCTAACTATACACCGTTAGTTACACAGATACACAGAAGTCGTGTTGTCAGGCAGGGTTGATTCATAGTGCCATATATAAAATTGTGTTCCCGTTGTGAATTCATCCCAAAAATTAGCATGTAAGATGGCGGTCAGGAGGCGTGTCAGGTGGACAGCGGTTTGCTGAAGTTGTTATCGGGCATGGCATACCACATGTTCTAATATTCTACTTAAACATCGTCCTTAAATATCACCTGTAAAACACTAAACTTGTGATCTTTTATGACAACTGCGGGCAACCAAAAGTTAAGCGTTAATATAATCAGGTAATCCCGTTTACAATTTTTTGGGGGGAAATTGAATTCCTGTCCGCCTCTCTGTCCGATAACGGTATGTTGTATGAGTGATAATGGCATAATGCAAACACGACAGGCCTGCCCAGTGATACAGGAATCAAAGGGCTGTAACTGCAACCTTATTGTGTCAACAAAACAGCATTGTAGCCCACGTCCCGTGACAAGGTGGATTACAGTGTTTTGTACATGTTGTTCATGTAAATCGTGTAGCACTTGTAACCAATGCTTTTAGATCCCACTACTCGTAGGTAACTTCCCTAGGTTGCCATGAGAAGTCATCATGATAGGATTGATACAGACACATGTATATGATATGCTAGTTACTTCTAGGCGTGGTTCTTATCATGAAGTCATTTATAATTTATTCTAAGCATGTAACGCCCTGATAACTACCCGTTAGGGCGTTTCTACCTGGGGCACCGTACAGGGCCACGGTATAGAACGCTGATGGCTGATTTAAAGGCGAATTGTTTGCGTGTCTCTTGTTTTGCGTGTTAATAATTCCAGCGATAGAAACAGGAAAAGGTAACGGAGCTGAGTTTTGGGATAGTGGATTTTTTGTCAGGCAACCAATGAATCAGGAACACATTTTGATATGCACCTATCACCTCAACTTCCCTTTCAGGTCCCTTGAGTTTATATAAACCCGCCCACACACCCTGTATGCCAGGGAAGGGTGGGACGGTTCTTGAAGCTCACATCCGTCACGAACTTTGCACTGTTGCTACTGGTTAAGTCATGTTTAAGCAAGAAAGTTCGTCAAGGTCTGAAATCATGTTTTAAAACAGTAGGTAATGTATAGTGAAGAAAATATGTTGCCTGATAATCATTAGACCGTTCTAGTAAGGAGCTTATATATCATTTGCCTTTGTTGACGTATTTCATAATGGCCGTCAACAATACCTTATAAATAATGCAAGTCCTAATGACTGATTCGCACACGATACGCTTTCTCATCGCAAGTAAGTGAGTCACATGACTAAGCCGGGGCGGACCAGAAAAGTTTCAAAGGGGATTGAAGAAACATTTAAAAAAATGGAAGGATTGGCATTTCAAAGAAATAGACATCGACAATATTGTAATCCTGCATTCTCTACACGTTTCTGGGTCTGTCAATACTGTTTATTGACGTTTTCTATGTGACCTTGATATCTAATTTGTGAAGCTTTCAATGCTAGGATACAATGACTCACAAGTGATGACCTAAATGATATCGTAACACGATGCATACACGCGCTCGCGAATTGTTCAACCATTACATTTACCGATGCATTATAATATTTTCACATGTTCCCATTTCACTTCAAGTTTAATGTTTGTTCCCTTATCTGACATCTGTCTGTGTTTACATAAACTTGTTTGGTACCATGGCTACGGTTTGTACAGGGGTACCAGGGACAGGTAATGAATATCGATCGAATTAAAAGGAATAGCAGTGGCAGTTTCATTAATGAAAGAATGAAATTTGTGGAATCAGAAACAATGGAAGCATATTGGCTCGTAAAATAGCGGAATGCATGTATTAATTCATTTGTTTTATGATACTGAATGATTTGTTGCCGTAGAACAAAAGACGGCGTTCTAAAAGATAGCGGCCTTGTCCAACCTCACGCCCTAGCGTTGACTGACCACCACCTTGTACATTGTATGACCTTGTTACCATGCCCACGCAAAACAAGGAATAGGCAGTACAAAGAACTCTGCATTTGACTTTTTTCGTGCAAACAGTGTTGTTTACCAAGACACACTATCCCAATAGTATAGAAGCCACTGTGCCGGACAACCGTAAAAAGCTTCTGAGATAAAAGAGAAAATAAACAAAGACAGGTGCATTTCATCTTCTGCCCTTTGAATCAAGGGGCATGAATTTTTGATCGCCGCCGCGCCGGGCGCTCTGTTTCTCACGCACGCAACTCCAGAGTACGAGTGCACACAGAAAGCTTGTAGCTCTGGAAAGCGTTACAGTTAATAAATGGTGAAGAATTGAATAAATACAATCCCATGTAGATGTTTCTTTAGGTTCGATGCTATCGACCATTGTTTGCCCAGTTGTGAGGCTAGGATAGATATTTATCTACTAGCAGATATTATTCGTATGTTAAACGTTGTGTATTTTCATAGCATGTTCTTTTTTGTTTTGTTTGTGTTCATTTTGGAATTATGCTTTTTTTTTGCCACATTTCAGGCCTCCGTCAACCCATACCCAGACTTCGATGCTGAGGAAGATGCCAAGATTCTGCGTAAGGCGATGAAGGGCTTCGGTAAGGGAGACGTCAATTCCTAATCCATGCAGTGTTGTCTACGTTCATGTGGCTAGCGTCAAATACCTTGCAATGCTATTTGTCAGCACAGTGGCGCCTTCCCGTCACATCATGACTGATATCCTGTCGACCTATGTGTGAGTGTGTGTGTGTGTGTGTGCATGTGTGTGTGTGTGCGTGTATCTGTGTGTGTTTGTATGTGTTTGTATGTGTGTGTGTGTGCGTGTCCACGTGTGTGTGTGCGTGTGTGTGTCTGTTTGTCTGTGTGTGTGTGTGTGTGTGTGTGTGTGTGTGTGTCACTGTGTGTGTATGCGTATATGTATTTGTCGTTCAAAATACGCCACACATATTGGACATTCTAACATTGTGCATTTTGGTGTACTAGGAACGGACGAGGACGCCATTATAGAGATCCTGTGTCACCGTTCCAACGACCAGAGACAGGAGATTGAGACCATGTTCAAACAAGCTTATGGCAAGGTCAGTGTTCCGTGTACTTCCAAGCAGAGGTTTGGGTTTGGGGTTATTTTTGGCGTGTTTTTAGGCTTTTTTATCGGGGTTTCTCTTTTGCACTGGAATTTCTTTCTCACCCAACCCCCCCCAAAAAAAGTCCAGTGCAAAAGAGAAACACCGATAAAAAAGCCTAAAAACACGCCAAAAATAATACCAAACCCAAACCTCTGCTTGGAGAGTATGTTCCGTGCTTAATTCTATCGGGTGACAACATTATTAATGTCAACAGAAAAACAGAAAATAAGGAGGAATTGGCCATTTTAAACCTTAATTTATAAAATTTGTGAATTTATGGACACAACTAAAGAAATGGCATGGCGCACTTTCTAATATTTCTAATATTTCAGGACCTGATAGACGAGCTGAAGAGCGAGCTCGGCGGGAACTTCGAAAAAGCGATCCTAGCGATGATGCAGAAACCTGCAGTGTATGACGCCAACTGCCTCCGCAATGCCATGAAGGGGGCGGGGACGGACGAGTCCACTCTCATCGAGATTATGTGCACCAGGAAAAATGACGTGAGTTACCACATTTAAGAAATAAAAAAAAACTTAAAGATTAAAAGACTAAAAGAGTGAACTGTGTGGAAAAGTACCAAGTATACCCAAGGAGTTTAAAAAATCTACTACCTATTAACAAAATGTAACAATGGAAAATAGTAGGCGATGTTGTTTTACGTCCATCCACTAACGACCTCTTCTCTCTCTTCTTTTCCAGGAGTTGACTGCGATAAAGGAGGCGTACAACGCAGGTAATACAAGATGTTAATACTAGCATAAGACACATGCATGCTCTATTAAGTGAAATTTACCAAAACTTGTTTGCTCCCTGTCATTGCAATAATAGCAAAAATTCTTTTAATTAGACTAACAATTGACAAAAATGAGTTTATCTGAGCAAAGTAAACATGTAGATATAATCCAAGTAGTTATGGAGATATAAAGATATTATTTGTATACACAATAATGTTTTTGTGATGCCTCTAATTTGTAGAGTTTGACCGTGACCTAGAGGAGGACTTGAAGAGCGAGACAAGCGGACACTTTGAGCGGCTGCTGGTGTCCATGTGTCAGGTACGCCACCTAGAGCCTACGGTGTACATTACACCTAACTCTAACATTCATTTAGTCGCACACCTGATACTGGATACTGTGTTTTGTATTGTAATGAAGATCACGTTGAAAAGACGCAGATGAGTGATTAAGATACAAATTGGCTTGGTAATCCAGGCATGAACCATTCGAATTCATTCAATCCTGCTGTTGAAAGCGTGCTGTCTAGTTGAAAGCCACCATAGGAGGCTGCAGTCCTGACGCTCTCAGTTGTCGTTTCTATTTAGGCTAACCGTGATGAGACCTATGAGGTTGATGATGGAGAAGCCGAAAGTGACGCACAGGAGCTCTTTGATGTAAGTATTCATCTTTAGATTTCCGAGAATTTTTTTGTACTTGTAGTGCATGAAAAGTTTTACTTACAATGATTATGAATGCCAGATTCAAGTGAGTCTGGTTCTATAGGCCATAAGTGTCGCCAGTGTAGATTTCCTGTGTTTATTGTTGTCTCATCTTTTTGTAGAGTGAGCCCTGCATATATGACTATAACAATGGCACATTTCCGTGATATTGTTGTTGCAGGCCGGGGAGGGACAGTGGGGCACGGACGAGTCCACCTTTAACATGATCCTGGCTATGAGGAACTTCAACCAGCTCAGGGCCATATTCAGGGAGTACGAGAAGGTATGGGCTGTGACAAATGTTGTTAGATGGGTAACAGGGGTTGTGAGGTTATAACGCTGCCTTAGGGCCCTCTGTGGACACGAATGAAACAAGAAATTTCAGACTTCCGGGCAGTATACAATCCTCGGCCATGAATCCCCCCATGTCGACCTACTGGCTCCCAGCTACATGCTAAGAGCTCTAACCTTCTGTCATTCTGCCTATCAATCTCCCCCCACCCCAAGCAGATTCAAAAACTCACATCCCGGCCACTCAAAACAACACTTCCGTACCCGGAAGAAATAACAGAAATTTTCTTCTGTGCTATTTCATAAGTGAGTGAGCTACTTTATAAGTGACCTAAGATTGTCAGTGCCATTGTCAGTGTATAATCAGTAAACTTTATGTACGTACAATCCTCAAAACTAAAAAAAAAGAAGACCACGAGTTCAGTCTTGTTGATCTGCCCACACAGATCGCCGGTAAAGACATCCTGGACGCCATTAAGAGCGAGTGTACCGGGAGTCTGGAGGACGGATACCTCACTATTGGTTTGTATTTACCATAAGTAGTTAGTGCTATTTGTTCCTATTGGTGGCCTTGTCTACGGAACTTCTTCAAAAATTGTTTAAACAAATCTTACATGTACGTACTTTAGACAATCTTACGGATAATACTGACAGCATAAAGCAATACTCCAAACCTATACCTCACATAAGTAAATTTTTTTACACTAATGAATTTTTAGCTACAGTTAAAATTTGGTAACGTAACTTTCCTGACTAACTTTGTTCCTCCGATGAAGCAAAGTGAAGTCACCCGATTGTACAATGCCCATACTTATAGTTTATTTCTTCGGTATTTGTTCTTTTGGGGCATTTAAAGACATGTTCTATGTTTAATGTGTTGCCTTCACGAAGCCAAGTGTGCTATGGACACGCCCGGGCTGTTTGCAGAGCGCCTGTACAAGTCCATGAAAGGCTTGGGGACAGACGATAAAACACTCATCCGGATAGTAGTAACACGGAGTGAGGTCAGTACGCCGTGACCACTACTAACCCACGTGCCCTCGCTGTCTCATTACCAACCAACCAACCAACCAACCAACCAACCAACCAACCAACCAACCAACCAAAAACTGTAGCATTTAGGCCCAAACCCACAATTCCTGGTTCTGATGTGACAACACTAAAGCAAAGAAAAAACTGAGCTGTAAGCCTCTGAGCAGTACTTTTGTAACTTTTTGTGAAGTTTTTGGCACAACCAAAATGATGGTCTGACGTACTTTCAGCGTGACGTACTTTCAAGTGGGTGGCTTGCATGAGTGGAGTCACCGGGTCCTCACAGTCATCACTTCTGTCCAACGTGACCTTTTTTAATCTGCACCAACTAAAGCCCCTCCCTGCAATCTCACGTAATTCAAGTACATACGAACACAAGCAAACACACAGGCATACCAAAAGGCCTACCAAGCATACATACGAACACAAGCAAACACACAGGCATACCTAAAACAATACCTGTGTACCGGGAGTGAAACTTGTACCTTCCTGAAAGACCATATGCATCTTTGTTTCACAATCGATGGCTTTAATTTGGCCTATTTCGCTAAACTTGGGACGAGTTGGTAATGAGTTGCTACAGGGCACTCCTCTGCATGTTTATGTGGCTAATGTTCCTGTTGCACCTTTAGCGGGGATTGCATTGGATACGCCCGCCTACTTCGCGGCACTGTTGAACAGGTCTATGTCTGGTGCGGGAACTGAGGATGACGACTTGATTCGCGGTGTGGTGTCTCGCAGCGAGGTCAGTAATGCATGGCCGGCAATAGACCCTCCTTCTGCCAGCGGTATGCATTTGTAATGAAATTAACTGATCAACCAATCAACAAGAAGTCATACAATCATTTGACCAATCAGCGACGCTATCGCCTTGTAGTGCCGTGCCTTTGACCTTTGCATGTGAGTCATAACATCTCTTCGCCTTGGCCTCGTCTCAACATACATTGAATAGTTCTGTGGACTGCCTCTACTAGTTTTGTTGTCTTGCATGCGTGCTGTGTGCTACACGTTGTTCGCGGCTGTGATTTATCTCGCATGTCTTGGCCTTTTCTTTGACTGCTCGCATGCCTTGTCTCGTTATGAGTACTCTAGTAACATGTTCATATGTAGTCGATAACTTTTCATTGTGGTGGGGATGTTTTCATTGTGGTTTTCAAAAGGTATATTCAAAAAAGGATTTTAGAAATATACATATGCAAAAGAAAATTATAGAAAACGCTCAAGAGAACGGTCCTACATATCGTATGAAGATGCTGGCCATATTGGCACACATTTATACATATATTAATAAGAGAACGTTCCACTAGCTAAAAGGCGTTGGTATTGACTGTTACCTGGTCAAGATACCCAAGCAAAAAGCCGATAAAATAGGAAGCCCCCAAAAAAGCGACCAAACAAGACCCTCTGCTTGGTGGCTACATCAGAATTTGGTAATATCGTTTGCACAACACGCAGAAAACTGTTCAATGTTTGGTCATAAACACTGCAGATTGACATGGAGTACATCAAGAAGAAGTACGAGGAGATGTACGAGAAGCCCCTGGCGGACGCCATCGCTGACGACTGCGGAGGCGACTACAAGAAGTGTCTGATCGCCCTGGTCGGCTGAAATGATATCTAAACACACAGATCGTGGCCGCTTGCAGTTCTTGTTGCTGTTTTTTTTTAAATTTCGATTTGACACCATGATATAAAGATTACCACCTTTTCAAAACAAATCAAATGTCATTGCTGGCTACATTATCATGCCATTGAACAAGTGCAAAATAGCACGACTAGATAATTGTATATTGATCAAGAATTCCTTTATACTTGCGCCAATCCATATCGATACCCCGTCATGAATTGTCTTTGGTAATGTTGGTCTATTATGTTAAGAGATAAGAGCATTTTATACATGAAACCTTACTTATCATTACTATGATTCTATTTACATCATGTATTCCAGACCAGAAGCAGTGTATGTGAACGATCACTAAATAACAATGGTATACCGGTACGCTGTGGTTGTTTGACTTCTCAGTTGTACAGTATTCTTGAGGCTTAAAATCAATAAAACAAGGTAATAATATGCCAAAAAACAGTTACTCAAGCAACTGGGTATGATTTTGAAAACGTCAGACGTTTCAGCTAGTATCCACTAGCTTTCGTCAGTGACTGAGAGACCAGAGGGGAAAGCAGGTTTATATACACAACCTGTTGATTGATATGCAAATAAAGTGAAGACAAATTTTTGGAAGTCGAAAAAGGAACAAAAGTCAGACAAGTCAAGACAAGATGATGCAAATTAGTCTGAAAGCTCCTGTTATACAGGACAGGAGCTTAAGTGTTGTCTGTCCTCGGGGCTGGGAGTGCCAAATCCCAAGTACCGGAAAGATCGACCCGTAGCCCCCCTTCCCTGTTGAGGGTGGGGTTGTACATTCTTTCATATATTGCCTCTTTAACACCCCGTTCCCACCAGCGTGTTTCGCGGTCTAAGACATCCGTGGACTCGAGTTTGAAAGAGTGACCCTGGTTGTGTTGTAGGTGGTGGAAAATAGCTGAGGAGTAGCCGTTGGCACTAGGTCGGCTAGGTCGTTGGCACTGTCCCTCTACGACCCATAGTCTCCAGTATAGGCTCTGTCACCTATGAGTTAGCAGGTTTTCTAGCCAAGATTTTAGGACCACTAGTGGGGAAATCTCAGCACCATGTACAGAATAGTGCCGACTTTGTCAACAAAATCAAAGACATTCATGTAGAGGATGATGAAACCATCACTTCGTATGACGTGTGCTCACTTTTCACCTCCATACCACCCAAGGAAGCAGTGTCAGTAGTCAAGGAAGCCTTGGAAGCCGATGATACACTTGCAGATAGAACCAACCTATCCGTTGACCAAGTTTGTGAGCTACTAGAACTCTGCTTAGGATGCACATACTTTACCTACAAAGGACAGTTCTACCAACAAACGCACGGCTGTGCTATGGGATCACCAGTCTCACCAATTGTTGTAAACCTGTACATGGAGAAGTTTGAAAACAAAGCCCTCAGCACTTTCAATGACACTCCCCCGGCCAACTGGTTTCTATATGTAGATGACACTTGGTGCAGATTGAAAAAGAGGGTAGCTGCTGACTTCTTTGACCACATCAACCAGATAGATGACAACATCAAGTTCACACAGGAGCCAAGCCATGACAACATGCTCCCTTTCCTAGACACCAAAACTATCGTAGAGGAAGATGGTAACCTTCGTTTCGAAGTGTACAGGAAACCAACCCACACTGATCAGTACCTGGCTTTTGATTCCCACCACCCTTTGGAACACAAACTAGCAGTGATCAAAACTCTCTTCCATCGTGCAGACAACATTGTCACTTCAGACCAAGCCAAAACGGACGAACAAAGACACCTCCGAGGTGCCCTGGCTAAATGTGGCTACCAAAACTGGACTTTCAACAAAGCGCTCAAACCTTCAGATCAGTCTAAGAAAACCCAGAAGTGCAAACCATTGACCAACAAAAACAAGGCCAACATCACTATTCCGTATGTCCAAGGAGTATCTGAGAAACTCCGACGGATCTTCCAAAACTTCAACATAGCCACTAACTTCAAACCTCACTCAACCCTCAGACAAAGACTGGTACACCCTAAGGACCGACCTCACAAGGGTACCAAGGCGAATGTTATTTACAGACTCAAATGTGAGGAGCCCAATTGTAACAACACCTACATCGGAGAGACAAGTCGACCGCTTAAAGTAAGGTACAAAGAACATTGCCGACCTAGTGCCAACGGCTACTCCTCAGCTATTTTCCACCACCTACAACACAACCAGGGTCACTCTTTCAAACTCGAGTCCACGGATGTCTTAGACCGCGAAACACGCTGGTGGGAACGGGGTGTTAAAGAGGCAATATATGAAAGAATGTACAACCCCACCCTCAACAGGGAAGGGGGGCTACGGGTCGATCTTTCCGGTACTTGGGATTTGGCACTCCCAGCCCCGAGGACAGACAACACTTAAGCTCCTGTCCTGTATAACAGGAGCTTTCAGACTAATTTGCATCATCTTGTCTTGACTTGTCTGACTTTTGTTCCTTTTTCGACTTCCAAAAATTTGTCTTCACTTTATTTGCATATCAATCAACAGGTTGTGTATATAAACCTGCTTTCCCCTCTGGTCTCTCAGTCACTGACGAAAGCTAGTGGATACTAGCTGAAACGTCTGACGTTTTCAAAATCATATCCAGTTGCTTGAGTAACTGTTTTTTGGCATATCGTATTACCTGGATGTCTAACCTTCATCGACGCAAGGTAATAATAATTCCTCTTGTTGGCGTCTCTTTTCTTCAAAGTAAGGTTTTACAAGCAATGTTAGTTGAAACATATTGCAAAGTTTCTGCCGTGTAATACGCGGTGATCATCGACCGTCTATTATACGAGGGGTGATCAAAAAGTTCTCGGCCTCACCTTGAAAACGTCAGGGCAGTAAAATTTTTCTTACACTATTTTTTATATAGTCCTCTCTAACTGCAATGCACTTGGTCCAGTGATGTTCCAGCTTTATTTTCCCCTTGTGGAAGAAGGTTGCATCTGGACCCCCCAGATTGGCCTATACTGCATAGATGACGTCATCATTACCATCAAAATGTTGACCACGTAAGTGGAACTTGAGTTTAGGAAACAGGTAGAAGTCCGAGGGTGCTAGGTCAGGTGAATTGGAAGGTGGGGTTAGACTGCAAACCCAAATTCGTTTGCTGCAGCCACTGACCCCTGTGCTGTGAGGACAGGTGCATTTTCATCACGCCAGCTAGGTACTTTCCTCTCCTTTTCTCTTTGATCATTGTCCTCAACTGTCGTAATTCTGTTGAATAGTACTCCCCATTGACCCCTTCACATGTAGTCAATCATGATTACTTCCTTACTGCCCCAGAGAACTGAGGCAAAAACCCTGTCAACGGATGAAACTCACTAAAACTTCTTTGGGGGCCGGGAAAATTCTTCATCCATTGTTTGCTCTGCTGTTTTGATTCGGGGTGAAAGTGGTGAACCCAGCTCATCTTGGGTGACAAATGTTTTGAGGAAATTGCATGGGTTGGACTGAATTTGTTCCTTGAAATGTCCAGCCTGTTTAACTTCTGATGTTCAGAAAACATTCGAGGCACTCACCATGCAGACACTTTGTTCATCCCCAGGATGTTCGACAAAACATTGTGAACTGAGTCATAACACAGGCCAAAGAACCTGCTACATGTTGGCCAGTCTCACATCTGTCATTTACTACCATGTGATGGATGGCCTCAACTGGATTGTCCGTGGTGCTGATTTGTGGCATACTGACCTATGTTCACCTTTTGTGCTCTACTTGCCGCGCTTGTAGCTAGTAACCCACTTCTTTATAGTTGAATAAAAATGGGAGTCATCACCAAGTGTCTTGACCATGTCTTCATGGATGTCCTTAGGAGACATCCTTTTTTATCGATATACTTGATCACAGCACACGCTTCTGTTGCGGCCATTTTGTGATTTTGCCCTCACCCGCCCCATTTTCACGGGGCGTCACGTGCTAATTAATGAATATAAAAATTTGAATTTTTGTGGGCAGTGATGTAAGACGTCATGGTATACAGTTATACCAAAGAATAGGAGTTTGACCTTTATTTTCTAGGTGAGGCCGAGAACTTTTTGAACACCCCTCGTATCCCTTGGCGCAAGCTACATTATTCAGCTGCAAGAAACTCCCGTCAGTTTGAAGGTTGCACACCTTTTCCCACCAAAGGCTGAGCGGCCATATATTTGACAGATCAGTGAACGATTTCAGTTATAAGTTTTGTGTGTTTTGTTGGTTGGCTGACCCTAAATAACCGTATCGTCTTGTTCAAAGCAAGTCTCATTACTTCTCTAGTTTGTAATTATGGACGCATTATCATTATATTTTTGTATTAGGTAACGTGAGCAGGCACAGTCTGTCCATCGAGAGATTATGTAATCTAAGCTATACATGGAAGATACAAAAGACAAAGGCAGGTAAAGACGGTTCAGCATGTCATATTTTATTACCAATTTGAAGTGATACATGTATCTCTCCCGTCGCATCCTTAAGCGTTTCTTCCGTGGTAAGTTCCCAGTTCTTTGTTAACCGTAGTCGTTGCACATATATCAGAAGCCCATACGTATGGAGTACACATGATGTAAGCACACACGAAGTAAGCTTTTTAACAAGTGTTTAATGAGATTAACGGGTCTTGGAGCGGATCTTGTTGAGGGAAGACTCGGCGATCTCGGCACGCTCCAGGTTGTCCTCGTACTCGTGCTGGGCCTTGCGCCACTTGGCGTTGTTGGCATTAGCCTGCTCCTCCTGTAGCGAGAGACGGGCGAGAACGGTGGAGATTATATTTTGATGCAACATTGAAACTAGGTGCATATAAGCGTCAAAACAAAACATTGGAAAGCTCTGTATAAGAAAAAATTATAAGCACAATGTTTATAGGCTTTAAAGACATGATGTCAAAAGATTGATCCTATAGCCTCGCCAACTTCCGTCAAAATTTTAAACGCAAACTGAAAGCATAAGATCTAACAGACATGCAACCACTCTTTCATTGGTCAAACCGCTAATTGACATGCTATCATTGGTTAAACTCTTAACTATGATGGACAGCCAGGATCGTCAATACTTACAGCCTCCTCTGCCTGGCGCTTGAAAGTCTTGATCTTCAGCTGCAGTTTCTCCACCAGCTCCTGGAGGCGCTCCTGGTTCTTGCGGTCCTCGTCTGCCTGAAAGGTCATCTCCTTGAGACGTCTCTCGTTCTTCCGCAGCTGCTTCAGGTCCTCCTGGTGATAGCGGCGACTCTCGTCGATAAGAGTCTCCAGGTCACGGATCTGTATGAAGAAATGGATTCATTCGAGATGTGGCTATGTGACCAAACTTTGACAGATCTCCATAGATAAGGACGATTTCACGATAGTGTTGTCTTTTAAATATCATACTCTACTCCTTGTATCATCTTTCAATTATGAAATGAAGGGTTACTTAAATTTCGGTTGCTTTACGGTTGCTCAATGTCAATGGTCGCTGTTTAGTGGAAAGGTGGCCTAAATTACAAAGATTTCAATGGACAGGCCAAACTGTTCAATGGAAAGTGTTACAGCAGGCGTATGCATATAGTCAATTCATACATCTACATACACCAAGTGCGCAGGAAAAAAACTATGCATACTGCAAATAGCATTAACGTCAAATCTTATCATGGTTGATTTATCATTCATTGGCAAAGGAGTCTAAATTGAAATATAACCAATGAACCGTAAAGAAAGAAAATAGCCATGCCATTTGATAATCAACAAATACACCAGATGCAGAAATCACCGTGAGCATAATTTGTGTAAGTTTGCGTCAAGTTTAACGTCACGTACCCGGTTCTCCAGCTTCTGTATTGCTCGCTTGCCGCCTTTAAGGGCGATGGCCTCCGCCTCTTCAAGACGACGCTGCAAGTCTTTACAGTTGGCATCCAGGTTCCGTTTCGTCTTGTCGGCTGTCATGGAGTGCTCCTGCTCTGAACGAAGGTCCTCCGCCATTCTCGCAGTCTGTAGCATGATGGAAGATATTCAGTAACGGTACATATATATTTCGAAAAGAACAGGGAGGAGGACAAATTAGCCTGTGACAGCAAAAGTTTGGCTAGTAGAAATACCAGTCGCTCACCTCAGACATGGCACGCTTGGCCCTGTCTTGAGTCTGTTTATGTTCACTGATGGTCTCTTCCAGCTCGGACTGGATAGACGCCAGATCTCCGTCCAGCTTACGCTTGTGCCCAGCCAGAGCAGAGTTCTGTGTGCTTAGCTCACCGAGACGTTCGTTGCTCTCTGCCAGCGCAGCTTCAGCGACCTTACGAGATTTCTCGGCCGTATCGAGATGAGAGCGGACCTCGTCGATCTCTGCCATCAGCGCCTGGTTCCTGCGCTCCGCGATGTTGTACTGCTCACGGATCTCGTCCCTCTGGCGCTGCTCATCGTCTATCTGTACCTGCATTTCTTGGATTTGGTTGTAGAGTTTAGCGATGGTCTTCCTCGCCTCGGCGTTGGCCCTGTTTGCTGATTCCAGCTGGACTTCGATGTCGTTAAGATGACTCTCCAGGTGTTTACGTGCTCGGGTTGCGTCGACCTTTCCCTTCGACTCCACTTCTATCTGCGCTTGGACAAGGTCGATGGCACGAGCATGATTCTTCCTGTAGTTTATTGGATAGAACAGTATGCCTTATTATTTCCTGCACGCTTAATCTTGAAACACCCCCTTCCCTCTGCCCATGCTATGACTCAGGATGGTTTGGTAATACACATAAGCATGCTACGACTACTTCAAGAATGCCCTAGTAAGTTCGCAATCGTACGACAAACGCAAGACGTTTCTGATCGGACCCTTATAAAAATCTTACCTGGTAGCCTCAAACTCCTCCTCTTTTTCAGCCATCTTCTTGTCGACATCTCCCTTCAGCTGTGCGAGCTCCAGCTGTACGCGCACCACCTTACCCTGCTCGATCTCCAGAGCGCCCTCCGCCTCGTCCAGAGCGTTCTGCGTCTCGTCTCGTTCCACTTCCAGACGTTTCTTGGCCTTTGTCAGCTCATGGATGCTCTTCGCGTTCTCCGCTAGCTGGTCATTCAGGTCGTTTATCTCACCTTAACAAGACAAGGAAAGTAACTTTGTTAAACGAGTTGTGATAAAGTATCACCATTACACCAGTCTTAAAGTATCTGATTGGCTTGAAGTACAAAGTGTAAAATCGTAGAGTTCTTGCTCTCAGAAGAGGTGTCCACGTCAGTAAAACAGTAGATAACAGGAAATCGAAGATTTCAGATTTCTGGAACGTATTTTAGGTTTACTGACCTTCAGGTTCCGGCCATTTCCTCACTTTTGGCCTCATATCATTCTGTTAACTTTTCACCCACCCACAGACGCGCAGACGCTCAGCTCAGTCACCCAAAGCAATACATCTTTACTCAGGAGTAATTAGCCTCACTCGTAATTTGGGTGTATTATTTGTTTGTAATGAATAGAATAAATCTAAGACTCTTATAGACAAACCAAACCTTGCAATGACTTGTTCTCCTTCTTGATAGCTTCCAGTGCTTCTACCCCCTCATCATAGACGTTCTTAAGCTTGAGCAGTTCCGTCTGGTAAGCGCGGCTTTCCTTCTGTGCAGCCTCAAGCTCGGCTTGAAGGGATTCACATTTGTTCTTCCACTCGACAACTTGTTTGTCAAGCAGACGCTGCCTCTTCTCGAGCTGAGCAGCCGACGTGTTGGCCTTCTCCACGTCCAGCAGCAAATCCTCCACCTCTCCCGCCAACCTGTTTTTGGTCTTCTCCAGACTTGCACATTTGGCGTTGGCTGCCTCCACAAGTTCCTCGGCATCCTGCAGACGAGCAGCCAGCTTTTTCTTAGCCTCCTCCAGCTCCTCCGTCCTCTGAATGGCGTCCGTCTCGTACTTGCTGCGCCAGGCTGCCACCTCAGCTGTCGCCTTGACCAGGTTGCGCTGGATCTCAGACTTGCTCTCTTGTTCCTCCTCCAGAGATTCCCTCAAGTTGTCACAGTCCTGCTGAACGGCGCGAAGCTGGTGAGCCAACGAGTTCTTACCCTTGGTCTCTTCCTCGAGCTGACGTTTGACCTCCTCCATCTGTTGAGTCAGCATACTCTTCGTACGGCTCAACTGATTGGATGAACCCTCTGACTCTTCCAACTGCCGCTGAAGGTCGTTGTTCTCCGACGTTAACCTGGTCTTCAGCGATGACAACTCTTGAATTATCCGCTGATTTTCTTCTACCTTCTGGTTTGCATCAACCAGGTGGTCCTCCAGCTGCTTGTTGGCTTTCTCGGCCTGAACCCTACCCTTGGTAACCTGTTCCATATTTGAGGCCAGGTCGTCCACCTCAACGCGAAGTGTGTTCTTCTCTTTTTCCAGTTTAGCCTTGATGCGCTGGAGACCTTCCACCTGCTCGGTCATGTCCGCTACTGTGTCGTTGTGTTTCTTCCTGAGACTGGCAGTGGCGGCCTCGTGACCGATGGTGGCCTCCTCCAGTTCCCGCCTGACCTTCTGCAGCTCGTTCTCCCGCTTCTTGTTCTGCTCCACCTGAGCTGCGGTGGCTCCACTAGACTCCTCCAACTTCTCACCGATGTCTTCAAGCTCACGAGACAGCTCCGCCCTTTGTCTTTCAAGCTAAAAGGTAGGATGTCGTTTTAGATAGTTAGTGTCATGTTGTCTACTCTTAGTGTTTCTTTCTTTCTATAATCGTTCTAACAACGTTAAAGAACTTTAAATTACACAGTGTATTAAGTAAGTAGTTGGTACATGTAAGTGTAAGTCACACCTTAGCTCGAGCTGCTCTCTCTGTCTCCAGCTCTTCTTCTAGCTCCTCAATCCTGCCTTGCAGCTCTTTTGTCTTCTTCTGCATTTGTTGAGCGAGGCCGGTTTCGTCTTCCACCTTGGTATTGAGAGCGTTGATCTCAAACTCTCGCCTGTATGACGTACGTATAAGATATCGTCATGTATTACGCATACATGTACGTATAACGAAGGCTTCAGCGCTTCCTATAATTTTTAACATATTTGTGTTTTAATAACAAAATTTTAGACTTCGAAGAAGGACTCACTTTTTCAGTTTTTCTTCTAGTTCAACTTTGTATCTTTCTGTCTCTGCCACCAGGTCCAGCGAGTTCTTCAAGTCATTCTCCAGTTTCCTCTTGACGCGGTCCACGTCACCGCGGATCTTCTTCTCATGCTCAAGGTTGTCTTCCAGCTGAACAGAAAGCAGTTTAATTTCATGTCGCTCCAAAGCAAGAGGTCATATCTATAAAATGTATGAAAGATAATTTTCATATCTTTTTCCACTTACGTCATCTAGAGTCTGTTCCAACTTGACCTTCAGCTTGGTGAGGTTTTGCACCTTGTCTTCCTCTGACTGGAGATCATCCAGTGTTTGCTACAAGAAAGGTAATCAGAGTCATTAAGAGTGCATAAAATGCACTTGTAGGAAAAAACTTTTCATGTGTCAAATATAATCAGTTTTCTGCCAGTAGATTATTTCTTAACTCCAACATTCACTGAGAAATAAACCTAGATAACGGTTTATCTAATAGATAACTGAAGAGCTTAAAATACACGGGCTTACCGCGTTCAGCTCTTCAAGTTTCTTCTTCTCTCGGCTGAGCTTGGAGATGAGTTCATCATTCACAGCCACTTCCTCCATCATGGCGCGAAGTTTGTCCTCGACTTCCTGTTTGTCCTTCTCCCTCTTGGACAGTTTGAGTGTTATCGCTTCAAGTTCACGCTTCAGTTCATCGTGCTCCTGCTCTGCCTACAAATATCAAACAAAACAAGAAACAGAAGACTTCACACATCCGTGAAGTGATTGTTGTGAATTTCTGGTTGTACATTATGAGCAGCACCACCTTCCTCTCTTTGTTATGTTCTTTAAGACAGTACATCTCAAGCATTTATGGTGCCGAACACGTCTTCATAAACATGATATGCAAGGGTTGCAGCTCTGATATGTATCACTATATAAAGAGTATAAACCCAAGGGCTTCACCTTCATTTTCTTGGACTCGAGCTGCCTGTTTTGATCTGCAACATCCTCCAGGTGTTCCTCTACTTCTGACAGCTGGGCATCAAGTTCGGCCTTTTCTTTCAGCAGGGTGCCTACTCGATCCTGAGCCTCGCCTATCACCGCTGTTTCCTAACATTGGGAAGGGGGCAGAATTATGATATTTGAACTGATTCTCCATCTTTCGTCCTCACGGTATGTTTAATATGCTATAATAGAAGCTTTATTGACTTTATTGATTCAGATGTTATCATGCAATCATGACAAGGAGAATATTTTATAAGTTATCAATTAACAGTTCAGCATGTCTTGACATTGGTTTAAACATCATACTACCGTCTATTGAACAGGAATTCTTGAACATGAATGACGATTTGAAATTCCCTAAATAAACAATACATAAACTCACGGTTTCAAGGGCATTCTGAATATCCTTCTTTAGAGCCATCATGTCGTTAAGCTTCGACTCCAGTTCGGTTCTTTTCTTGACTATCTCCTCGTAGTGCTTCTCCGTCTTCCCAAGTTTGACCTTGGTCTCCTTGAGAAGTTCTTCAGCCATGCCTCCCGTCAGTTTCGGCTTGAGCATCTGGTACATCCTGATCCACCAGTCATTGCGCAGGCGGAACCACGCACGGATGTTGTTCTGTAGAATCCTCATCGCAGCCCTGTTTAAGATTTACACTCATCTAAGTTATGCGTGTTGTAAGCAATGTCGTTTATTGTGACAATATTAAGAGTAATACTGCGTGAAAAGTGGCATTTACTTAATGATAATACATGTCAGGTAAGTCTGCTGTTGGTTGATGTAGGCGATAAATGTCTCACCTTCCACCAAACAGCTTCATGAAGATTCTCCTCTGTAACAGTTGACGAGCGCGAGACTGCATCATGGTGAAGATTTCCTTGACTTTATCGTCTCGGATCTCCTCTAAAATGGCCAGAGTGCCGGCCTTGAAGAACACCTTGTTCAAGCCAATGGCGTAGCGTGCTTTATCCAGCTTGATGGCCTCCAGGATCTGCTTGGTGGCCTCCTTCCCTTCCATGAAATCCCCTGAGGCAAAGACGTGTGCAGCGCAAACAGAGTACCTGGTGGAGGTAACAAACCCAATGTATCATCCAGTCGTACTGGTTTTACATGCTTGGAGGTAAATGCAATACCCTATTTTGCATCATGGTATCTATAATCTTTGCAATGTATGCAATTTAGCATGAAAGTTGCTCAAACAACAGTCTAAATTTGCTGCAATGGAACAAATAATGCCTTGGAATTGTGAAAAGGACTTTTAAAGATCTTAATATGTACCTCTGCAAGAAGTCACCATATAAACTCCTGTTGGGGAATCCTTTCTGACAGATACGGATGCCCTCGAGTACACCGTTACAAGTCAGCTGGTTGTAAACCAGAGGTCCGTCGATGATGCCGCCGGTCTTGATCTCGTTGGGGATGATGCAACGGACGAAGTGGGGGTAAGTCGAGTGGAGGTTGGTCATCAGCTCTGTCAACTGACCCTGTAGATTGACATTTTTGAATAATAAATATTTACTTCAGCTGAGATTTCAAACGTCAGGAAATATTAGAGGGCCTCCGATGTAATCCTCGGCTTCCTAACTTCCCCATGATGGCCGCCGGTCAGAGCCCCATCTCTTCAAATTTAAACAATGCTTTCGTACACGAAAGTAGAAAGTACCACTAATAGTGGGAATTTTTTCAACTAAATAAAGTTTATGTTTGTGAAGTTGGTAAGTTATGAAAAATGAGCTCATACCCTGTGGATAGCCGACACCGTCTGAAATGAGCCACCCTTCTTTTTCTTGCCCCCAGCAGCCTGTTTTTCACCTAGTGTATAATCATCATCATCATCATAATGAAAAAATGCACATTCAAATTCAGTGGAGAACACATCGTACAAATCTTAAGAAATTCAAAGCAAGGAAATGGATTCGCTGAGCGACCGTTGAGTGATCAAAATATTGTTTTCGTTTGACGCCTGATTTTATAACTGGGACGGAATGCACGACAACAGAAAACTCTTGAAATTTTTGGTCATTCAGAGGAAGGAGGTGTTACCGGCTTGTTCTTCCTGTGTGATGTATTCCTTCCAAATGGTCGGCAACAGCGGGACCTTTCCTCTCTTCAACACCATCACGGCAGTCTCGTTGACCGGGTCCTTGTTCTTCTCCAGCCAGCCGGTGATGTTATAGGCCACCGGGCCGGCGTAGTGGCCCAACTCGAAGTGAGCAGGGTACTTCTTCTTGCTGGCTTTTGGCTTGGTGAACTTGGGATTCTTGCCCAGATGTTTTGCGCAGAGCTTTTCTATGAAGGTTTTGTCGGTGGCTTTCGGCACAATGCACTCCTCCTCCAGCGTGGACAGGATGCCGAGAGGCTGTAATGGGACATTCATGATCAGATGCATCTAGGTTTGGTGTCTACCACCCTCGGCATTAGTCTTTTGTTAGTATTTTCCGCTCATGTTTAATCACTCTCCATTTATTAGAATTAGAATTTAGTTATGCTATTTTGTACTGATGTCAAGTTCAATTAAAAAAGATTAATTTAGATCAGCTGTTATCAATATAGTCGACCCCCTGGAATATCAAAATGGAATAATAATCACGTGTATTATGGACTCACCTGTCACAAAGATAACAACAAACAACTTACCTTCTCCAAAAGATCCAGGCAGGCCTGCAAGTCCATTCCGAAGTCCACGAAGGTCCATTCTATCTGCTCGGCCTTGTACTCCTCTTGCTCATTGACGAACATGTGGTGGTTGAAGAACTGCTGCAGCTTCTCATTCGTGTAGTTGATGGCCAACTGGTCAAAACTATTCAACTGCCAACAAATGAAGAAACACGCTTGACCTTGAAATCGTTTGACATCTTTAGTTTTCTGAAGTTTTGGTAATGATTAACAAGCTTGCCTTCTTTGACACAGGCCAATCAGCGCTCAACAACTACATATTCGCAATATGGAAGACCGTCTGCATGATGGTAAGCGTAAACAGCGCACACTAAAAAAACTGATTGTATTGCAAAAAGGTCATTCTCTCTTGCTGTTTTACATCCAAAGATCGATATATAGCACTTTTTTCATACCTCAAAGATTTCGAAGCCGGCAATATCCAGCACACCGATGAAGAGAACTCGCTCCATTCCGGTCTCCAGAGTTTCGTTGCACTTGGCCACCAGGAACTTGAACAGGTAGCCGTAGTTTGCTTTCCCCAGCGCGCCGATGGTGTTGTTACACTGGGCAGCATTCTGACTCTTGGTCACAAACTCGGCACCGACCTTTACCCTAGGCTTAGTGATGGCGTTTGCAAGCTCGAAGCCGTCGACGCCAAACAGCTGCGCTGCCTTGTCGAGAACTGTGTGACACATACATTAGAAATTACCCAGATGAATATTCATACAAGCAATGTTTTCGCTTTCACCATAACGTAATTATAAGACCATCAGTACAATCAAAATGAAAAGTTCAACACCTTTCTTTTATTCTCAACAAAGTATAACCTCTTATAACATGAATTTGTGATGTATCTCGTCACTAAAATAGATTATTACTCTTACCTTCTTGGTTTTCAACATCGGCGTGATCCTTCCTGTCGGCAAACTCGGTGTTCCCCAGCCACAAGATGCCAGAGGAGATCCTGTAGATGTTGTCCTTCTCCTCGGCGGAAAAGTTCAGGATGTCGAAGCCTTCATCCGTGGCGCGGAACTCCTCTCCGTCGTCCAGGTTCTGCACGGTGTACACGCCCTCCTTGATGAACTTGTACACCGACGCGTCGGTGGACATCATGTACTTATCTGAAGGAGAGAGAACGAGGTCAAAGCTAGTCAATTGACCCCGACAGAATGCATTGTTAAAAGGCGAAATCGATTCCTAATTTCTGCTTACCCCCGACCTAATTCCGAGACGTTCACCCTATTTCCTGTGTCTGACCTAAGAGATTCTTTTGTGGTCTGTCAATCTTCCCCCACCTTTCAACATGCTCTATCTGGACAAACAGATACACAAACACACAGCTCAGCCCTCAGAACAATAATTTCAGAATTCTTTATTATAATTAGCTGGAAGAAACATTATTAACAAGCTTGTATGCACTGAGAATATGACGTACCAGTGGTTCCGGGAATTCCGTTGGACATCATCTGGAAGAAGATGTGGTAGCTCCTCTCCATTCCAGGAAGTTGATCGATGACACGAGACTTCTCCAGCAGGTCTGTATGGTGCAGATGTGAACAATTTTACTGACACTATGTGTATGTAAGCCCTGTTTCTTGATTTCTGTCTGTTTTCTTGGTTTGCTGTTTTGCCGATTTATCCTTGTTGGTATTAGTCTTTAGTTAGGTGCTTCTATGGATTATAGAGTTAAAAGTTATCTGGAAAAAGTTGAATGCAAAAAAGAAGTGATAAGGGTTTACACTTACATGTCTCGATGTCACCTCCAGCCAGTTTTGCCCGCTTATCGAAGTGGATCCTGATGAATTTACCAAACCGGGAGGAGTTGTTGTTCCTGACGGTCTTGGCGTTACCAAAGGTCTCCAGTACAGGGTTGGTCTGGACGATCTGCTCCTCCAGCGAACCCTGTGTATTGAATTGCAAGAAATGGATTCTCTGCCTTTGAGGCATGGCTGGACAATAAAGGTCTTTTCTAATATTCACATTTAAATTTGGAGGCAAAAGGGTATTCTTTTTAGATAACAGAGAAAAGCTGTACATACCTTGGGGTCTTTCTGCTGACCGCCAGAAGCCCCAACGAAGGCGAAGTAGGAAATAACCTTCTTCGTGTTCTCAGTCTTCCCTGCACCAGACTCCCCGCTATGTGTGAGATATGAAAAAATGTTGAAGGAAAGTTCCTGGATAAGCGACGTGGTAGCTAAGAACTATGACATTTGGCAAGTAATTCGTCAATGAATCATTAAAATGCCGAGAATCGCCATCACTATGATAACAACATTTCATTACAGCATACTCACGTGATGAGGATAGACTGGCACTGCCTCTCCTGGGTCATGTTCTGGTAGGCGTTATCGGACACCGAGAAGAGATGGGGCGGGACCTCCGTGCGCCTCTTCCCCTGGTACATGGCGGTCACTTGCTCGGAGTAGATCGGGAGCCTCTTGAATGGGTTGATCACCACACAGAACAGGCCAGAGTAGGTCTGCAGCGTGTACACATTTAACATGGTAAGAAAATAAATACACTTACAACAGAAATCAAAATAATAAAAGCGTAATCTATTCGGAATAGAGAACACACGAAATGTATTGTGATCACATGCATAACAAGATATCAGAGATTTTAAACTTTCATGAAGTAATTGGGCCTATCATGCTCTCACAGACCTTGGAGGAAGTGTTTAGGGTTTTCGTGAATGCATTAGAACAAGTACTGTAGAGTCGATTGTATGACACCCTGAAATCATCCACATATCCACATACAACCCACCTTCAAGAGTGACCACCCTATCACTCTACTGTCAGAATCATCTCCCTTCCACACCATGAAATCGAGACACAAACCTAAAACTCCCACCCAAGGCAATACTTCCATAACCGTAAGTAACAAATGTACTATTTTCGTGTACGCTTCAATCCCTTCCATAGTTACTCGCCATCTTACTCTCATGCTGCAGACTTACATAGATGAGCATCTGGTCGTAACGCTGCCTCAGGTTACCCAGCACAGCCGCCTCGTGCATGAAGGTCATGTTCACCATGTCCTCCGCGCAGGCGAACTTGGGAGGGTTCCGCTGCAGACACTTATCCTTCTTCACGGCCAAAGACTGGAACAAATGGCATTGCGCAGTGTTAAACCAACGTGTTGTTTCTACAATCAAAGATATGTATGTAGGTTTATGAAGAAAATTCAGCATCACGTTTCACAAAGCTAGTAGACTGGTGATGGGTTATTATTATGCTATGAATTTGTGTTACTGGTTTTTCATTTCAGACATTTAAAATAATTAGATTTTGACGTTTAACACTTTTACCAGACAACATCTCTTTACCTTGCCATCAGCGGTCTGCACCGTGACCTGATCCCCCTTCTCGCTCTTGATCTCCGCTTCCACGAAGATCTCCTTCTGATCCGGGATCCACACGCTCTTCTTGACGTCATAAGGAGCGTTCCTGATCTCCATCATCTTCTTCTTGTTGCCCAGGAGGAAGTCTTCCGAGGGCTGGTCCTCGAGGGACGGACCGTAGGCAGGCATGGTTGGTTGTCGGGCGGGGTCTCACCACAGGCCGAACGAGAATCGATGAGGGGTGGCTTGAGGAGCTCGAGACGGACGCAACAGCTGACCACTGAAAATGATACAGGATGAAGTTAAACGTCCACATTTTACGAAACATATACCGAGCACACTCTGTAAACAGGTGGCCATGCAGATACATGAGATGGCTATGGAACTGTTTCGTTTCTGTCTACAAATTTTTCAAATGACTAGCAAAACGCACTTCTAGAACAAAAGGTTACAGTTGACATAACCTTCTGCTAATAAAAATGGTTGAAATGCTGAATTTAGATCTATAATTCTTTTGCCATGAGAAGAAGCTTACAAACGAAAGTACTTAAACATTGCTACACAATATTCAATAGGCACTTCGTATCAATACGATTAAGAAATACCATGTAGGAGCTTACCTCTGAATCCGAGGGAGCTGTGTGGTGCTAGGATCCTTATGTCCAGTGTTTTATACAGGAGACAAATTTGCATAGGTGTCGTTTTACCCGACAGTGCAAAAATGACGGCCAATGGGAGAGCACTATATATGGGGACAATACACTAAATAATCTATTTGCAAAATTCTTTGCCGAGTGATGTCTTTAGCAATCATGTAATGGCTAGCCCCGAAATTAGTAATACAGTCCTTCATTTTCATATATGCTGTGTCAGGTATCCCATACATGCTGTTTACTACTAAAATTACATATTTTTAGTATCATTATCGTTAGGAATGCACAAGTGTCATGACTGTTGGACGCACCTTAAATTTTTGCAAATGATTGATATAGCACAATTGAATGAATCTGTTTTTTTGCAGTTTGTTATCTTAACACCTATTTACATTGTTTATCACAGGTACCACAGCTATACGTACGTATTTGTGCATTTTCTCTTCATATTGAAACGAACAATGAAAGAGTATACACTCCAACATATGTAAGACATCTGTTCAACTCCGCACCCTATGTTCCACATTTGGTAAGTAACTATATAGCTGAAGGTACTCTGACTTTTCGATCTCGTATCGGTTTCTGACATCTTATATGTCACTAACGTACATTTCCAAATATATCTGTATATATACACGGTCAATGTTACGTTAGACTCCTGGACACTTACAAAAGTATGAGTTATTAAAACATACACAGCCCAGCTAAGGCGATGAGGAAAAGGTGAGCGTACAAAATAGTGTCTTGAACATACATTGGATCATTTAGACGTTCACCTGAAACGTATTACAAAGCTATAGAACTGTTAAGTTCTATAACGTTGTTCTTTTATGACACTGACTACGTGACTAAGTAATTATTTTGAGACCGTTGTATGTACATACATATTGACTGAAAGTGTGTTTGGTGCTAAAATGATCTAGTTTTCATGTCAGTTAATAATTATTTACTTGCAAGGATATAGTTACTTGGAAATCGATGAATGTTACATCTAGTTCAATGTCCTTCTGTGCAATCCTCAATCTGGAAGTTAACAGTTATTCTGTCTGTAGGAAAATTGTACTTTAGCTTTGTTTTATTGAACACGAGAGAGAGTGTGTGTGTACCCATAGCAAAGACTTGCTTTTGAATCATCTATATCTATAAAACTTAATAACGTTCCAAGCACATATTGCAAAACAAAAAAGGTATATTACTAGAGGTATACATGTATAGCTAACGTCATTCGTGTAGTGCCCCCTCTTTCTGTCTGTCTCTTTTCTGCATGGACTTTGCTTACGAGGAACTTGTTTGTTGTGAATTCGGATGTTGTCAAATTGAGGGCATAGATTCATAGTCTCTTAGAACATCGTTGAATTCTTCACCACATACCGCTCGCTGCATGTGGTAGTTAATAGATGATGGACATGTCTCTGGGAACTTTGTAGAGAGAAGGTAGGGGAGCTAGAATCGACAATTTGCTAAGATTCGCCGATTTTATTGGACATTATATATGTAGGTAAATGTTAAACTTCCTGGATGTATGATAAAAGGCTTCGAGAACTGACATACAGTTCATCACTGTTAACAACATTAAATCCAAGGTCGTCACCTTCCATTCTGACTCTGTTATTTCAGTGACAGTAGCGTGTGGGGAACCCATACCATGGTGTCAGCTGGTCAACAGTTCCACACAAGGGCAAATCGGACAGATGGGCGTTGGTAATGACGGCCGAGCGGATCATTTCCCCAGTTCAAATGTACCCCCACACGTTTTGCTAATAAAAGTTTGGTCAAATGCATATTACACATAGACTATCCAAGCTGTTATTTTGCCAGTCGATTTTAACAACTTTGCTTAGACCATAGTTTCGTAAAACCAGTCTCAAAACGTAGGTTGACAACAATCTGTTAGTTACCCTTGCTTAGGCGATCATAATTCGTACAGTCATATTGTAGGTATGTACTCTTTCCGGCGTTCCCTTGTATCGCGTAAGGCAATTTCCTTGTTCGGCTGGTGTCGGATCGATCTGTTAGTTTCCCTGTACACCCTGAGCTGGAGGTAGACCACACGCGAACCCTGATTGACAACGATTTGTAGCGACGCTTGCCATACAATGTGACCTTGTCCATACTTGCAAGGAGCCGCATACTGCAGTAACAGGCGGTATGTCCAGACCGGTGAAGAGACGTAAGGGCCAGTTATCTGTGATAACAAAGAACGGCAGGAGGGGTCATCGGGTCAATCCACTTGGCAGTTGAGTTGAGTCCTATCGGCCCGAGTCGAAAACGGACAGTTTGAAAAGGACATAGTTTATGTTAGTGTTCGATAAGTACAAGTCGTATAAACTATAATAGAAATGTCAGCTGTTTGCACCTTTGTTACACTCGCAGTGTCAGTTTCAGAGGACAAAGTCTACTGGTGTCTTTTCTTTGAATAATTTGGCCTCTCCCCCCGAAAAATCTTTTAAAACTGCCTTGTATATTGCATACACAGAAGGGGTCCAGTTTTAGCTCTGTAAATCGAGTCCAACGGCAAAGCTATAGACGTTTTATGGTTCAAATACTTTGGCGGCAGTATGGTGGTTTGAATGCAGCCATAGAGCCAGACACGATAATGATGATGTCTCGTAATGTAAGCCGTTAAGCACGCTGGGCACCCTTTACATGTAGATATCAAGTACTCTACAGCAGTAGTAAGACTGTAACTTATAGTTCATACCCGACAATAACTATATATAAATATACTCTATATGTCTGTATGTCTACCATGAGAGACATCTGTTGTATAGGATAACTGTAACAAGAGTTGTAAGATCGTTTTACAAAGGAATATGCCAGATGCAATGGTCAGTTTTTAATCGAAATTTCTTTTGTGGTATTTGGAACTTTGTACAAAGAGACAGTGCCCTAACACTTTTGTTTTCCTCTCATCTTGTCTTGTCTTGTCTGGCACTAAGAATAGATAATAATTTTCAAATATGTGTTGAATTATGATGATGGTAAAATGATTGGGTTGCAACAAATCGTGATACCTCATAAGGACAGGGGTTGTTTTGCATTCTGGCAAGCGTCAAAATGTTTGAAAGATGACATCTAAAGTTTCACTGTACTGCCACTTTGGGTGAGGGAGTGGCTCGATGTCCACATTCTGCAACAGTTGATATTCAACTTTGTAGCCAAAAAAGGTGTTACATTTGCCGTGGGTCAGGACCGTGTGTCTGGGCTAAATGTGAACAGTTATAATGTTTCTTCCTTCTCAACTTTCTCCATTTGCACGTGTCTTCCACCTCATACAACTTATTACAGGCTTTCCGATCTTCTCTATGGTCGATTGTTTGCACATTTCAATTCTCGGACAATAGCCCACCAAGTGCCGTGACATGTTGCCCAAAGGTATAGACAGCTATCATGTATAAATCTCCTCGTACATGTGTGAGTTTGACCTTTACGATCCGATGGATATTGGGTCACATTGTCGGCCTAGTACTCATATACACATCCGCATACTCCTGTCACGTACAGAATGGCCATGTGGGCCACCGGAGAAGCCATTTATTGAACGATTTATATTTGGTTTGTCGCCCAGAGCGTTCCAAAAGGAAGTGTATGCCCATACGTTCAACATTTTGATTGTGAAGGGTAAATGGATATGTTTCATATCCCTTGCATGGATTTGTATTATATTGCGTATGTTGAATCTGGCAACGATCTTTTAGTGACTCATATATACATGTAATTTTTTTGTATTTTGCTCTCTGCTGAAGCCCCCTTCCCACTAGATGGCTATCGACGAACGACCGCCAAGTGACCAAATTGGTTTTGTGTCCCTCAAACATTTCATTGTCACCCTAAATTTCATTATAGGGATATGATGAATGATGTAAAACTATGATTTATTCAACCAAACACGTGCCACGGCGGTCAATTTCTAGGGTAAAGTTTCCAATTCTACGGAGGGGTATCAGGTTACCGGGGTTCCACGCGCGGGTTCCGTGGTGCCAGTCTCAACGGTAAACATTATTTTCATCAGTTATAAACAGTTTCACGGGGACTCTCTTGTTCAAATGTGATAAAATCCGCACTGCATATAGCTCAAATGTTGGTGTTTTTATTACAATGCTTAAATGTGCGTGAAATCACTCTCGACGCGTCGAATGCTTATTCTAGAACAATCGACGTCAATAACCAAACAACTGATTTAAACCGACCCCAAATCTCTCCGAAAATTCCATATTTTTGCATTTTAGAGAACAGTATAACAAAATTAAGATTTGAGTCGGACAGTTTTCTTCATTTCAAAGTTAAAGTGTTGGTAAGATAGAAAAATTTGCCCAAAAATGCACTTTTGCAACTTTCAAGACGGATAATTCCAGAACGCCGCCATCTTTAAAAAATCCGTCCGACACAGATCGAGATTTTTGTCTTACCTACAATTTAAAACGTTTTTGAGGTAAATTGAATTTGTTTTTCTTGCGGTTTAAATACCATGTTTGCACGCATGTCAGGTCGTGTGAGTAAGTACAGGGGGTAACTTATATCCCCGTAAACAACAATTACGATCTTCAAGGTCACACACGATAACGGCAGTAGCTTCGTTACATGTTACATATCCACTATAAAACAGGGCATAGATATACGGTACCGAAATTGGTTTATATTTGTGAAAAGGTGATTTTTTTTACTGTTAGGCGGTACCGTGTAAAAACGGGCTTGAAGCCGCGGGTTTACTGTACATGACCGCGGGTAACCCCGGATCGAACGAACGTTCGGTTCGATTGACGTCATATCGAACATGATTCGATTCGAATGACGTCATATCGAACATGATTCTGTTCGATGAAAAGGTTGGAATATTTGGGCCCAAATTTGACCATCGTGTGCACGCAAATCTTAAAAGGATACGTTCTTCATCTACGAAATTAGCTAATCGATCTATCAAATTTGTGGTCGCACGTTGGAAAAGATGGAAAGAGGATGTATACGTACATGAGGGTGTATGATTACACATCAATGACACATGAAAGCCACAAGCAGCTCACATGTCAACGGATTTTATTTCTCTGCGGGAGAACCAGATATAACCACTCTTGGCCATTTTAATGTACATATGAACGGTTCTCATTATGAGAAAATTTAATTTGCTTCTATTTACATAATCGATCGAGGATTGTCAAATTATTTTATTTTATTATGTATATGTACAGTAATCAACACACATTCGAATACTCTGTTGCCATGTGGGACTTTCATTAACATTCATTCATACTTAATTATCAATATCACGCCAATGTATTCTTGTTGGAAATGACAGAAGACTTGTAACAAAGAAAAACCATCACAGTTTTAGACAGACGGCATTGCGATGTACCACGTATTGATAGGTACTTACTATTTCTTCATAATGTGACGTTTTGTTGGCCAGTCTTGCTAAATTTGAACATGACAAGGCCAACTTCAAAGCAATCTTTTGTTAAATGCAGGCGCCGAGCTTGAGTAGGGACACGAACTTCTAGGGGCATGTATATTAAGTCAAAGCCTATACATATTATCACATTAAACATTGACCTGTGATATAATGTCTAAAATATTATAATACCGGAGACGATTGGGGATAGGTCACATTCATTGAAGGCCGTCGTACGATTCTAATGCCATAGAATTTTCACGGATGTAGCGCTGCCTTCTCCGTAACAAGCCAGGTGAGGTTTTGGACGACATATGCACGACTACGTCAGTGTGCGATCGTCGTACAACAACCTTGCGACGAATGTGATCCTCCCCTTAATCTGTTGCATAGGGCATTGGAGCACATGTATGACATTCATCTGTAAATCATTCGAAAAAACATTCTTAACTGACTCATGCTTCGTTCAGATAAGATATGAACCATGAAAAAACATCGAGCAATATCTGTACAGATAAGAAATTCTTGCCTTGTCACCATTGCCTCTATCGCATCATAGTATACATGCCACGGTAGCTAGACGGAAAGTCCATATGGCTCCGGAAAATAGCCGACATGTACATACAAACTGACGTCTTTTCAGGTCAGGGATTAAATGAAAGACTATTGCCTAAAACACCATATTGTCGACGTCCTCACATTGCAAGAATGATTCTCCACGTGGTAATTAAACAATCTAATTCTATGTATGCAACAGTTGTAATAGAAATGCTCTTTGGCTTTTGAAAGCATCCGGATCCATTGATAAAATGCACACCTTTACAGTCCATCATACATGTGGAGGCTGTATGACCACTAATCATATGCATTAACGTCAGACAAAGTCAGATATCTAGATTCCAACTCTATGGAAACGACTTATTGCCATTTGATATTTGAATGCGATATTCACATAGTTTCCATAGTCTTCCTATCAATCTAGCTTTTGGCACCCATTTTGCTGAGTAATGCTTATATATCGTTCTACTTTCTTTGTTATGCCTTTTTCAAAAGGCTGTCGTATTATATTGTCCCCACGTGTTTTATCGTTGGAATCCCCCATACGTCAATACAGTCAAAAGTTGTTCTGCTTCAGATACGTTACTTTCTGTGACCTTTGCGTTTCGTTGTAATACAAGTTCACGTCACGAGAGGGCGCCCCTTCTAACTGCGACGACTTTCCGTTACCCTCTCGCCACTTCCTTCCCGTCTGGAACGTGGACGTGGATTGGTCTTTTTCCCTGTTATCTGTTTCCGCCTCGTCGTCCCAACCGAACGCCCTGTTCTTGCGGGTTAGGGTAGTCATGTTCGGCTGTACACAGTTCCCCGCCATTTCGTTCTTCTTGTCGTTACCCCTGTTAGGATCTCCCATGGACGGCGGATAGCAGATCGCTGCCAGCGCGGCGGACAGGAGAATGAAGCCCACGCACCCAGCGGCGATGTACAGGAACAGCAGGACTCCCGGGCCCTTGTTGTTGAGTAGATAGGTGGGGATGGTGTTCTCGGAGTTTCTCGGTCTCTCGGTGGGGGGGAGGTTACTTCTATCACCTGAAGTGATGCAGAAACAATTACAGAGACATTACATAGGAATAATAATGTCCTCGATACGTATTTAATTTTCGGATGAAGTAAAGTTTGTACAATGCCATACAGAGGCCATATCTGACAATACGAAAGATTTGAACGATATTGCTAATACCGCATGGTTTGGTGAAGAAGATTAGTTCTACCCCTTTTCACTAGAAGCTGCGACTGCTGAGCGACCGCCAGGCGATCAATTAAAGATTTGACAGGTCGCTCAGTGAATGTCATAGGTAAAGAACATAGAGAACTGACATTGTTTGATGTCGAAGGCGCCCACCCCCGCCGTGCCCGTGCCCCAGGGACACAGTCGGCAGGACGTCTGCCCCGGGTTCGGCTGGTAGTTGTTCAACACGCAGTACTGACACAGGTTGGCGGTCTCGTTGTAAAAAGTGCCGGACGGACACTTAACTGTTCAAGAAAGAAAAACTTATGTATGATTCTATTATTGCTAAAGACGCGGCTACGATCGTTGTAGGTGGTCGTACGATTTTGATGCCGTAGAATTTTCAGGATGGCTGTGACAGAACTTAACCACCGACACATGCACGACTATCCCAATACTACTAATACCCTCAATTTGCAATATTTATCGTACTACGATCGTACAAGGGATGTGACCAGGCCCTTAGCTGTAAGGACTACTTAACGAGAACAGATTTAACAGGACTACTGTTTAAAAATCACATTAGCTCTGCGTGTTATAAAGACGAGCCATGTCATCTTACCACATCCTTTACTGAGCTTCATTCTCCCGTAACCACACAGCACGTTCACATCAGACACTACCACCCCGTCTGCCGCGATCCTGTACACTCTGTTCCCGTTGTCGTAACTAAAGTTTCCAGTTCTCAATAGCCTCAATATCCTTTCTGTCGTCGAATTTTCCAGTCTTCTGAGCCTGATCGGGTCTTGTCGTGCGTTTATCGTGACGGTCATGTTCACGGCCACGCCGTTTTCTGGACCGGCTTGCCTGCGCCTCCTGGCGGAATATCCTGCGCTGCAGGAAGCCTTGACTGAGAGACAGCTGGCGTCCTGGGAGAGAGGCTTGCACGGCTGGAGCGGCACGATGTAGTTGAGTAATTTTCCAGTGATGTCGAGGGGCAGAACCGAGGAGATGCTCTGACAGGGAACCGGCAGGAAGAAGGAGATAAATCGTCGAAACATCTTCGGTCTCTCCACGTCACCTATTGACAAAGAGGAAAAATCCAATTACACCACGTCGGCCATCAAAATGAATTCTCAGGACCAATGAAACGTAACGGGTTCGTCTTGTGATTGACGCCTCTATACACACAATGCAAAACAATATTGGTATTTCTGCAGCGCGTCAACCATAATTCGCCAATGACAAAACAGTGTACTAAAACTGACACTCTTTTTTTGCCAGCCAAAACTCCAGTGTCACAAATAATTACCTATGCAAAGAGGTATAGGATCCCTCCATTCTCCCATGGGGGTGCAGGTAAACTTGGCGTCAGGATAAGGAGAGAATCTCTCCTGACACTCCATACGGCACCGCTGTTTGCCTGTCTTGGCGATCTTACAGGTGTAGTTACCGTTGGTCGGAGAGAGCACGGGCGGACATTCAACTGCAAAATACGGAACGTGTATCAAGGCATGCCAAATGACTTCGATCTTCGATTTCTCGTAGATAAAGAAAGTATTGGATGAAGACTAAACTTGGTGTCGTCTCGGAATATGTCGACGTTATCATTTTATAAAGTTTTACCTGTTTTGACGATGATGCTGACGTTAAACCTGCAGGTGTTTTTGGTTCCCTTCGAATCAACAACCCAGCACGTGACCGCAGTGCTCCCCCTGTAGAACAGTCCGGGTTTCCTACAGATTTTGAAAGAAAAAATAGAACTGTGAATTTATGGCCAATATTCAAACTTGCTATAGTGTCGGGCGTAGTATTTTCCTAATCTCAGGCAGTAAATCATAATTTTTCTCTCGAAGGTATGAAAACAAATACGTCATGGCATTTTCCATTTTAATTCGAACTCTCTGAGCCTTATATCAAAATGGCGGAATCCATACCTGGAACATTCCGCCATCAGGATGGCGCCATTCCCCACCAGCCGCGGTTGTTTCCACGTGATCATGACGGGCGCTCTGGGTACCTCCTTCATAACGTCAGCCGGACAGGCCAGCACGGGGCCCGGCGTTCCTGGGGAGAGAACAACAAAACAACGAGAAGAATAAATGGAAGGTTTCACACCCCAGTTAAGTATTTAGAGTTATCAAATTTCTTGTTTTATTCATCATTGCGCGAATTTTTCACTGATTCAGCACATACTCCACATGTCACTTCCAGCCTGCGGTAATTCCACCCCCCATTGAACATCAACCTCTTACTTCCTTAGCTTCAATGTATCTTACGGACACACAATCAAACAAACAGACAAGCACACCGAAAACAAAACATCGGTGCATGGAGGTAATAAATGGGTCCAAGTTCCATCAAGATAACTGTATGGGTTAAACAATAAGACACGACAAGTTCTAAATATAGTACCGTTAGGCAGCTAAAAGACATACCTGTCTTGTCCAGTAATGTAGTTGTTTCAATAGAGTTGGTGGTGATCTCATTAATGCTAGTAGTCACGTCATTGCCTGGTGTGGAAGTATCTTATAAAACAGAAGTGAAAGACTTATAAATGAATCATCTAAATATGCACAATGACTCCACAAACGATTTCGAATAAAATATGAAGGTCACACGTGAATATGATTACGGTAAAGTTCTCCAAGTGTTAAAAGTCTTTTACATGTGCCTCTGGTAGACAGATACGACCCCTCGTTGATGGTTGCTAATACGTCATGTTTTGTTAATGTTAGCAATGTTCCAAAATGTGCATTTCCTGCGCAGGAAAAAATAACTATTCTGGCACGATTTGGAAGAAAACTGTTGATTGGGAAGCCCTTTACGTAAAAAAAATGCTTAATGCAACTTTCGTACCGTCTACACACGTGACTCTGTCGGCAGCGACCCTCATGCCTGGTGGGCATGCGCACCTGACTCCTCCCGGCACGGACACACATGTGTGTGAGCAGGGTGACCTGCCAGTGGCGCACATACCGGACACTACAGGAATCAAAACAATATGTTTACTAGTCGTTACACTAGTTAGTGATAAATCAGAAAGTGTGAATCATAAAAATAGATATGTTGATTGTGTCACAGTAATTTGGATAAGTAGATTCAATTTGCTTGAACTTCGCATGCCCAAGATCAAATGTAAGGGAGCAGAATTCTTTTCTAGACCATGCTTGAAGCACGTCCAGACATGTTTTGTTCATATCTCAGGGGCCTTCAACTCTGACATATTACCCACAATACATCACACGGCGCATGCACAGTCAACCGTGAACCGGCTTATGCCCGCATTATGTAAAAACTGAAATACAAGACTGTAAATTGAATACATACATCCACAACCAGTAACGGATCAATCTGAGCTGGACATCCAACTGTTAGTACAAGTTTTCTTACATACACAATTTCATACCGAAGAGGCAGTGCGCCATTGTGACTTGGTCGTTTAGAGTATTATAATAGCCATTCTTAAATTTCTTACCTTTCAGCTCCTTTGGATGATGCGCATGGATCTCCGTCGGTCTGATGAGGTCGGTGATGACCTTGTCGATCCTGCCTGTCACCAGATCAGTCATGGCCACGGACTGAGTCTTCCAGTCGGAGTAGAACAGGGCGGGGCCCACTTTCGCCAGCCCGTAGATATGGTCCATTTTCTGAGAGATGGTCGACACTTCTCGGCGATTTCCTCCTAACAACAAGAAATCGAAGAGTTCATAGTATTACTTCTCCCAAATACATGTATTTACAGCAGATTTTTTGGGCGAATTTCCCACTTTATTTGTTGTAGTGAATTTCTCGCTGATTCTGTCTATGTATTTTCCTACTGGCTTCCATAAGACAACAGACATGCGCAGAGTAATCAACTGCAGACAGAAAACGATATGTCCTTTTCTGGAACCTTTGGCCTAACTTCCTGTCAGCGTCCCCGACGTGTCTAGCGTATAAAATAACTATAGACACATGAGCATGACAGAGAGACAAGCAAAAGGTAAAAAGGACTGATGATGATAGCACAGGAATGTTTGCAGGAAGTACCTTCTTCAGCAATAGACTCTATTTTCCTGAGTGTCCCGTCGGCAAAGTAAAGCCGCCCCTCGTCAGCGTCCACTGCCAGGCCGTTAGGTGACTCCAGGTCCCTGCCGACCAGCGTGGTGCGGTTCCCCCCGGTCAGGGAGGCCCGCTCGATCTTAGGCTCTTTCCCCCAGTCCGACCAGAACAGGTAGCTAGAAATAAATCAATTCAGAAAGAAAGCCAAAATTACCACATTGGCATACTCAAAGGTTCTTATGTCCTGTAATGCAATATATAAGTCATGATTATTTCATACCTAGGGTAGATTTCTTTTAATTCTGTCAATTCATCTTCACGACAAGATACATTAGTCTGTTAATCGTGCCTTAACATCCATTTTAACATGAATCTAGAGGTGCTTGCTAGGTACAGAGTAGTTGATATATTTTCCAAAGAAAGATGGAACGACAATAATAGCGTTTCTAATGTTTTAAACATTCTACCTGTTATCTAAATTAAATCAAAGAGCACACAATCCCTCTCTGAACGAAATTGCCCTTTTCTTTACCTCCTGATTGGGTCCATGGTAATGGCTCTTGGCTTATCTACATCTTTCACCGCCACCTTGTGGGCAAAAGTGCCCAGATCAAGCATTTCGATGGTCCCCGCGATCCCATCCGACCAATATAAGGTCCTCCCATCCACATCGATCGCCATGCCGTCTATGCCCCCTCCGAACAACTTGACGTAGGATATCTCCTCCCCTGTCAGCCGACCGCGGGACACCATGCCTGTGTTCACGCTGCTCCAGTACACAAACTTCTCTTCCGGGTCATAGGTCAGCGCCACGATGTTGGGCGCCCCGTCCAGCTGAATGATGGGATAGGCGGTGGTGTCACGTGTGTCGAAGGAGAGCATGCGTATTTCGTTGTAGTCGGCCACAAGGAGGAAATTGTCGGGTTCTGTACGTAAAACAAGGAATAGAAAATGCTGTATATGCTGATTAACTTCCGGTAAGGAGGTATTGTTTTTGAGGTGTATTTGGATGCAGTAGTGTTAAGAAAGGAGGTTTGTAAGTACTAACCACGGATTGACAGGAAGATCGATTGGGGGGTCAAACAGTCTCTCCTCAGTGTGTGTAAAAGGTAATATTCAACTGAATGCAAGGCATGTCTGCGAATCCAAACATTTGATTAAATATATTGATCATTCTGTGTTATTATGAGCACATGATCGTTCACAACGCTTTCATGATTACATGTGATCAAATGGATTTTTAATGTCTGCATGAAAAAACTAATGCGTAAAGCAATGATCTTTACTTACATCCATGCATGCACGTAACGATTTAAAAGGCAATCAAATACTTACGACAGTAGGCTTGGCTAGGCTTGCCATAAAATGATTGGTGTCGTAAATACCTACGCATCTCTTCCCGTCGTCCGTCAGTACCAACCCTCCTACATCCGGGCACTGGCAGCGGTAGCCCCCGCGGATGGGGACACAGATGTGGCTACAGCCGCTGGTGTCACACGGGTTTCGAGCTGGGCAAGATACAAGCGTAAAGGTCACTATCACAAGCAGACGTCCAGGGTCCACTTTCAGTCCCCTTGAGGTTCTAGCCTCTTTAAGATTTGTAAAAGCCCTTTTATTGGAAAACGTACGCAAAATCTTCTCTGGGTGAGATTTGGGGAAAAAAGAGATTTCGACCCATTTTGTTGGCTCTGTGGAGTCCTCTAGTATGTAGAAATGTAAAAGGTTGTTTAAGTGTATCTACACATGTGACGCACCTGTCAGATCGACGTATTGCGGTCCTTTGTAGTACTGCAGCCCCATGGGATGAGAGATGTTCTTCACCACGGAAACGATCTCCCCGTTGCGCATGTTCCCGCGGAAGATCGCCCGCTCGTCCCAGTCGCTAAAGAACACGTAATCGTCACCCAGGGTGATCCCAAACGGTACCTGCAATAAGGAAATACTTTATAGTCATCCTAAAACGAACAAAAAGGGCATAAGATACAGCCATAGACTAAGGAACAGTTCACGTGGGAGCATTAAGGGCATTTCTATCCATATCAAAACTTATGAAGAGAACACAAATTACGGCTTATCTACACTTTCCTTAAAAAGGCTCGATTATCGTGACCATAGCTAACTTTTTTTGACCGTTTTCTAGTGGTGAGATTCCAAAATGTAAATATTTAGAGAAAATGATTATAATTGCGTGACTTTTGTAGTTTAGCGCCAGAACATGATCCAAACAACTACAGGCCAATCTCGCTCCTTTGCATAATAAGCAAAGTGATGGAATCAATAATAAACAAGGCACTGTGGAAGCACATTAACAAGAACAGACTCTTAAGTGACAAACAGTTTGGATTCAGAGCTGGCCACTCCACAGCAGATGCACTGACATACGTCACCCAACACCTACATGACGCCAAGGATAAGAGACAGGAAAGCAGGCTGATATGCCTGGATATAAGCAGAGCCTTCGACCGAGTATGGCACAGGGGACTAATCGCTAAACTGAAAGGCATCGGCGTCGATGGTAATGTGCTCAAATGGATTGAGGACTACCTGACAGACAGAGAACTGAGAGTCACAGTCGGTGGGAAAACCTCAACCTCCAGAGTCACCAACGCGGGAGTACCCCAAGGCTCCATCCTTGGCCCCCTACTCTTTCTCATTTACATCGACGACCTCACTGAGAGGCTGACCAACACGGCAATCCTGTACGCCGACGACTCATCGGTCATGAGCATCATAAAAGAAAGACGAGAAGGAGCCAGAGCAGCACTGTCGCTAAACACAGACTTGCAAAAAATCCAGAGCTGGGCTGAAAGCTGGAACGTTCTCTTCGGGGCCACAAAATGTAAATGTCTGACCGTCAGTAACCTGAGGGACGCCGTCGGCAACCACCCCGAACTCAGCTTTATGGATACTCCTCTCGCAGAAGTGGAAGAAGCTGAACTGCTAGGAGTAACAATTCGTAAGGAATTGACTTGGACACACCACATAAAGCAAATGGCAACGGACGCAGGAAAACGCCTGGGACTACTGCGCAGGGTCGCCCCTTACTTATCCCCACAACAGAGAGCCACCATCTATAAGAGCATGGTGCGATCCTGCATGGAATATGCGTCAACAGTCTGGATGGGAGCAAGCGACACTTCACTGGACTTGCTTGACGCCATACAAAGGAGGGCCACACGGATCATAAATCTCCCACAGGCCGAGTTGGACAGAAACCAGATTCAGCCCTTGAAACAGCGCCGGCAGGTTGGGGCCCTCACTCTCCTGCACCGCATGTACAACCAGGATGCCCCAGCACCACTCATCAGCTTACTCCCGACCCCATACGTACACCGACGTGAAACCCGCCTGTCAAGATCGCAACACAGCAACGCTCTGGAACCTGTTAAGTCATCCACAACATCACACAGAAGAACATTCCTACCAGCCACAGTACAGCTCTGGAACTCCCTCCCACAGGACATTGTAGCTCTAAAGGACAGACACAAATTTAAGAGCAGTGTAAACCGTCACCTCAGAGGTATTGGACAGCGCCCTTGTGACAGCTGCTAAGCTGAGTCTGACATTGCATAGATAAAAAAAGAAAAATATTGATATATCATATGATATATAGTTCACAGGGTAATACTTCGTATTCATTACGACAAAAATATGCGGTATATACAGTCGCGTAGAATCTCACGCAGCCACTAATCTCACAGAATGGGCGGAGTGGGCGGAGAAACGACTGCTGTGAGGTTATGAAATGTGTTTGAATCGCGCTCAGGGGACCCAGACACGTTGATTACATATCAGTGTAAAAACCCAAACACCATCTGTTTTACGTGTCAAGTCCCTAGCCTTCACCTTAAACACAGCGGCACGAGGTAACGATGTTTATGCACAACTTAGTGTCCCCAAGGTAGCTTTTTATCCCTAACATGACATTAAGTAGTTACCTTATGAAGTGATCATGATAACAGTAGTTATCATTCCCGGTCACTCCCGCGCCGTACTATAAAATAGCTGCAATTAAAGAGCCTCAAGTAGCAAAATCCTTTGAAACGGGTCTTAAAGACATAAACATTCTTTCCACTGGACGGCGATTCATGGTGTTTCATGAGAGACCATTCAAGTGATCAAGTGTTTCAGACTTGATTTCATAATTGGAATACTATGTAAGATGTAATAGTATGGTTAAAAGGAGAAGAAAACGTGAAAAGAGTTATTCTTATCTATGAAATTCGTTGATCGCCCCATCAAATTGTTGATCGCTGTGCGGTCGCAGCCATTAGTGGAGAGGGGTTTTTAGCTAGTCCCGATACACTTGGCCCAAGTTCTTGCCGCATCTTCCGATCGTTGTTCATTTGACGAGTGTTGTTGTAGTCGATATATCAATACGATAGACCTAACGACTTTTCGTGAGTCCTTTGAAACGGGTCTTAAAGCCATAAGCCTGCTTATAACTGGTCTCCTGTAGCCCAAGGGCGCGGATCGCCTGTGGGATCATTGCAGACTTAACGGATTTACAGCTAGTTCTTCCGTCATGGCCTATTTTGTAAGCAAGATTGTGCTGAAAGCTGTCTGAAGTTATTACATTTCTCATAAGTTAGAACCACAGATATAGAGATAAGAAAAATCCGCCAGGTATGCATGGAAATTGACCTTCATATGTATGCATTTCATGGTAACCATCAGGCTCCATAGCTACCTTAAAATTGACAATTATACGATGTGCCAGATGAATTTTGAAAAAAAAAGGAAAACAAAACCCTTTCAAAAGTTTCGCATGACTTTGGGAACTACCTTGTCTAATCTTGTCCAAAAGTTTTAATTTGCTGCCTCAAAGGCCTTTTAACCTTGCCTCCAAGTCGATTCGCGGTCGGTTTTCATTTTCCGGGAAGATCGGTCGGTTTCCATTTACTGGAAAATCGGTCAGCTCGCAGGCACACATCCCTAAGTGAGTCAGACCGTAAAGAGTCCGCTTTGGCACCTGCTACGTCGATCTAATCCGGGAAGGTATTACCTTTACGTGCGCAAATACCTGCTCGCCGAAATCAGTCAATTTCGATTTCTACACCTGTCCTCTTCTTGCGGGGAAACTGCGTCCGGGCGATGATTGCTTTCTACCGGAAACGTATTGGCTACTGGCAATTTCAGGCTGGGAGAGATTCAAGACAGGGAATTTCTCTTTCTCGTCGTGATTACTGTATCTTTTCGCCGGGAGTCAATCGTGATTCAAACAACTATTTCCACGGAGTCTAATGGTTCTGTCAGCAATCTAATTTCTGCTCCGCCTGGTGGATAGTCTATAAAAGCGCCGCGTGGCGCAGATCAATGATAATAACCCGTCAGGCTACAAAATCGATGGCTGGAAAAGTCAAGTGGAACGACAAACAACTCCAGGGTCACAGCCTGTTTCGGAAACGTCTTAAACATCGTTCTGTTGTCTTGAGGCAAAAGAACTTGGAATGTGTGGAGGAAGATATCGCTCACTGATCCAATGCAAAAGAAAACTAACGACTGGAATATCGTTTTTCTAAATTTTCAGATGAGGCAGATTCGATTAAATATCTTACGGCGGTCGCGCCAGGGTTACAGAGATGAGAGAAAACATGTTGCTCCAGTACCGCCGGCGAGTCTAGTCTAGTCGGTTTATTGCCTCAGATGTAAATGTACACTCAAATGATATCGACAGAACGATCTTACTATAGTCTAGATACTTCGGGACGTGTGTGTGTGTGGGGGGGGGGGGTGATCTAGACTTCACCGTGTCGGGCGAATAATCGTATAGGGCTAAAGGGAGTGAAAACTGTGACCCAAGAACTTATATGTAACCCAATCAATCACTGTTTATCATAATTAGCAGTTCAACCAATAGGATGATGACAAGTACTGGTTAAACCAATGAGAAATTGGCTACATGTTCGTCAAATAGGTGGGCGATGCTATGTGATTATCTATTCTGAATATGTGCGAGCAAGTGACGACATAAAATCAAATACACAAGTTCTGTTTACCTTCACACGGAAATTCACCGTGGTTCGGTTCCCTCCTAGGAGTGAAGACTTCTCAATGGACGCTGCCGAGTCGAGCGCCAGTCGGGAGTCGGTCCAGAACAGCGCCTGTCCGTCGGTGGCCAGGCCGTTAGGGTTGTACACGTTAGCCGACTGGAGTGTCAGGCGGTTCCCCCCGTCCAGGTCTGCCCGACTGATCCTCGGCTGGCTGCCCCAGTCCGAGAAATACAGGAACCTGCGGGGCCGGGGAACGTTTTAACGGGTCGTTTTAGCGTTTTTATGATATTCAAGATCGACAGCATCTTAATAAGATGTAATGTTGGGGGCCTTAATGAAGTCTTGCCAGACCTACTCAACGAAAGTGGGTTATATAGTGAAATGAAAGCACGACTCATTCAACAAGAAGTCAGAGATTTCAGATACGTATTTTGAGTTTTTGCGAGCTTCAACTTCACACTACTCATCCTGGAAGTGTTTTGAGTTTTCATAAGTATATTGGAACTTCTTGAATCCCTACACATACAGCCCGCTTACTCGAATTCGCTGCCTGCTGGGTCACATTCAGACGTGACCTCCCTATCAATCAACCATCAAAATCACCTCCCAACCACCTTGCAATCGAAGCAATTCAGCCTCCTAAACAATACTTGTGTACTTCGGTTACCGGAAGTAAAAATCACGAGCGTGACAAGTGAGCTAGATAGCACAAGATATAAGGAAGGATAAATGTAATTACATACTAGGCAGGATTACTTTAAGCTCCCCTACTTTGAACCAAGGGCTGCCGTTTAAATGATAGAAAGTATGGCATGCAAGGAAATTGAAAACATGTTGAGGAAATGGAAGAAGTTTGAAAGGAAGGAGCTAATTATGAAACTTTAACTTAATTGGGACTAGGACAGAAACTGTTCAGGGTTAGAGAGTCACGCATGCAATCCCCTGCTTCCTGAATTCCCCCGGACAAGTATACACACAAGCCCACAGCTAGGCCACCCAAAATCATGCTCTCGTACTCGAAAGTAATACTTGCGCAGATCGCACATGCCTTCTACTTTAAGGTATATGTGCTTTGAGCTTACCCTCGCCGACCTACTTGGGCTTGATAGAATTTAAAAATTTGATAACCCTGGAAACAACCTGTAGAGAAACAATTACTCACGGGAGTGCAGCTTTTAATTACTGGTAATGAAGAAATTGATTATCTGACACGGGCGAGAAAAAATCCTGCCATCCTCAGAAATCGATACGTGTAGTGAGTCTGCCTCATACCAATCTAGCTCGGTTAGATTCTCCAAACTACACGCACGACGATCGCAGAGCGACGTACAGGAACACTATTAAAGTTGGATTTGTGTAACCCTTGATTTTATAAGTGGAATATGACGCAAAATGAACAAGTATGAATCAAGAGACAATAAAACACACAAAGCGTAAATAAATAGTTCTTTATCTATGAGACTCATCGGGCCATCTGTCAAATCTTTGATCGTTGAGTGGTCGCTCAGCGGGCGCAGCCTCTGTGGAAATGGTGTATAATACGGCCTGCAAGTCTGTAAAGGTATACTTGTCAACAAATACACAAAAGCTAAATATATACCTACATCAATTTTCGAATTTCTACATTTAGTCTCTCGTCTAAAGACAAGATAAATTTCAAGCGGAAAGCAAGTAAAAGGAAACAAAATGAGAATTTGGCGGAGACAAAACGTTGGCAGCTCGAAACGTAGTTCTCTCTCAGCATGGATTTACCTCTGAGTACCGGCCTGTAGCAGCTCAGCCAAGAAATCTTCGATCTTACTGTCAACTCGGCAAATTACTTCTTAAATTATTCACAGTTTCTCACCTACCCGACTAAATGACTTTCAAGGATTAAAATGGGGGAGAAAACACGAGTGTCCGGGATTCGGAGGGCCTTGTCAATTATATTGGCCTCGCTTGACCGAACGCGACCTCTCTTGGAACAACTGAAGGTCACTCGCTGACTTCATGAATTTCCCATCATTCTGTTCGCATAGGTAGCTTTGCCGTGACATTGCCCGTGACCGTTAATCGTGATGTGCATTGGGTAGACTAACATGATCATTCATCCAATATACTTCACATTATTTGAAGCTCCGTCAGTTGAGAAGGATGTCATCAGCAAACTTTTATGAGAATCGTACATCATTTTATCAAATGATATGGTAAACTTCTACTACGTTGAATGAAATTTCAACCGAAATGGAGATCATTCTGTAGGAAAAAGCCAAACAAACCCACGCATACCTTGAATAGTAGCGGACGTATTTAATTTGTTCGTGTTTTTTAAATGAAAAGCGAGGTTAAATCTACGTTCATGGAATTGTCTGTAGGTATGAATGCACACGGCAGAAAAAATATAGATGAGGCGTTGCACTGTTTGCAGTCTTTGTGCATCAAGTACTTATCAAGAATAGAAAGAAAGAAGACTAAGTTTGTAAAACTTAGGATCAGCGCCAGGATACGGTGAACTTTGAACAACTGTGGCTTATAATGACTGTACCTGGCTCGCGAATGTCGTTAACCCTCGCCCCTGCTCGACTGGACCCTCCCGTAACAAGCCGGCTGTGCGCTCAATTACTGCTGACTTCAGATTACTGATGTCGTGAAACCTCCACTTACTCTTGGCCAATCAAGGTTCACCCACGCATACTGTAAATGTTTAAGTTCTTACATTTCTGAATTCATACTGCTGTATGCCCAACCACCAACCAGATGTACAGGCATTTGCAAGACCTCGGTACAATGGGGAAAGTGAATTGTAATGGACTCTGAGGAAACAGTAGGTGCTGAAGAGGAGTAGTTTATGCAGACAAATGGGTCAGTTGGCCGGATGGTTGGTTGGTTGGTTGGTTGGTTGGTTGGTTGGTTGGTATATTGTTACTGTTGTATCAATATCTTCACCATGGACTGTTTTCATAGTTGACATTGTGGAAGGGTAAGATAGTTGGTTGCTGAACAGAGGGTCTCTGGGTAAATTAAATGAGACTCAAGGTTTTTTAATCTGATTTGTGACTGAAGGTAGTTGACAATGACAGTTGGTTGGCTGGGCAGGTTTAACAGTACTAGACAAGGGTTTAATTGAAGGCAGGTCCTAAATGTATCTTGCACCTAGCACCTGCATGGTCTTACAGTGTAAAATCCATGTCACATTATGCCTCCGAATCGGACATCATACTCACCCGCGGTGCACCACAACAGCCCGAGGTTTCCCGAGGTTGGTCTCTATGACGCGTTTCCGGTTCCGGCGGTCCAGTCCCACCATCTCTATCCGCTGCCAGGAGCTGATCCACGTGCCGGCACGGACAGAGTTCATGTTGGAGAAGTACAGCCGCCGGTTCTGTACGTCTACTGACAGGCCTGATGGAAACATAACCAGTCATCAGAATACATGCTGCACAGTTATATTGGAGAGCGAATCTCATACCCGGGTGAAATAATTTAGAAATGCATGGTAGTCTATGCATTTACCACAGGCACGCATGCAGCAGTAAATTGAAGACAGGAAATGAGATAACTTTTTCTTGGACCTTTTACCTAACTTCCTCTCAGTTACTTTGGGGTACGCGCGTCTGTCATGTGAAAATAAGTATGAAAACACAAGCAAACAGACATTGAACACACCTCGAAAACGAAACCTTGCTAATTTTTACAAGGAGGTAATAACTTCTGGAGACCCAGTATACAACAAAACCTAAACAGTCCTAAACAATCGAGTTTTATTTAAATGAGGACTTTGATAAGAAAAGGCTGGGACGACATCACGCTGAATGTTAAGTTTGTAAACATTTGAACCCAAGCACGTCTGGCAAAATGCAGTTGCTACACAGGAAATTAGACTTTTTTCACGGGCCAATTAGTCTTTCAAACATACATGTATTAAGCCTTGTCTGGAATAAGTTGAGAGAAATCCTCATCATCCAGTAATCCGATCATTAGAAATCGAAGTGGACACGAACACATGTCAGATGAGGTTAACGTTAGTCTGAATTTGTGCCGTGCATAATTTACGTGCTGGGATTAAATATGGTGGAATATAGATTACTTATAACTAAATGAACGGGGTGGCGCTGGTTTCAATGTTTATTCCCGCATAAAAACGAATAGGTTTTATATTAAATAACTGACCCATAACGAGTACACAAAACTAGTCTCCAATATGTCTACGTAAAAAATCAATGATCACATGCAATGTTTGTTTGAATTTGTCGCTGATTCTGCCTATGTAATTCCCACTGGCTTACATAGCAAGACACTTGCATATAGCAGGAAATAAGGCAACCTTTTCTGGGACCTTTGACCTAACTTCTTGTCGGTGCCCTCGACGTGCATAGCTACAGAAACGCAAACACAGAGACCGACGAATAGAGACGGTAATAGCAGAGAAGACGTAGTCGTAAAAGTTCAAAAGGTTCAAGGTAAAAATGTTCCGATACATTTTTGTTTTGACGTTTTTTTCTCTCTTTGGTATCTATTGGGTATCCATGTCTCTGGAAACCGATACCAAGTTGCCGAAAGGATCGATACCTTGTGGATACAGTAATCGGTTGGTTTAATCTGTAAGTTTCTCCTGTACGTGGCTCAAAACCATTCAATAAAGTAGGTACAAGACGAAGGGAAGTGAAACAGTGTCGCATGATAATTACACAACAGTGGTAAGTACTGCAAGGTAATGCCATCAGCGGCCCGGTCGGGAAAACTTATCAGCGAGAGTTGGCACAAGATTTGAGTATCAAAAACACTTGTAAAGGGGAGTGTTGAAATAGATATCTAACTCTAGATATCTAACTGTATATATTACATTCATACATGAAATGATTAAATGTTACCCTGGTTATGTTAAATCCCTTACCACTATAGGGTTGCGGCCGCTCAGGGACCACTAATAATTTGACAACTCCATGAATTTACTACATATTAGAAGTGTTTTTGAAGTTTGGTATGTTTTGTTTATGATCTATAAAATCATAATTAATTTAAGGATAAAACCACTCAAAGCCGCTCAGTGATCGGCCTCTAGTGGAAGGTGGCCGAATTTTAAGACGTATGCACCTGAAAGGACCTTTCCTCGTTATATTTCTGGATCGTGATGGGTTACAGGGGTTTCTACTTAATTCTGATGTCAATTTGTTATTCCAATCCAATACTCCATTCCGACGTGACCTGTGCCCCTTAACGAAACTCGTACTCTTCTGGCTTTGCATTTCCTACTGTCTGTTCCAATTTTGAAGCAAGTGGTTTGCCAAGAATGGGCATAGGACAACCATTTTGGCGATTACTTTCGAAGAAAACGATATTTTAGTCGTCTCCATGCATCAGATAAGATGGCCATAACGGGTTGGAACGGTCAACGCAGAAGATTAAATTTGGACAATAACCGCGCCAGGATATGGCAGTGTTGCCCTATATGTGTGAGAAGTGTGACAGATATGATAGGAGCAAACAACATGAGCATTCACTGGAAAGAATCCTCCAAATACGTACGATCTTTCCTTTATAACCAGAAATCAGAGAGTTTAGACCGAAAGTGTTTCGACTTTTCGTGAATGTATCGCCATTGTTGGAACTCTGGATGGGATTGTATGACGTAACTTAATCGGGTGTTGCTAATACTATAGAACTACACCATTTAATTTCTCCATGTACCGCTCACTTACTCCCACCCTGCTTGTGTTGCATCACCTACAGCCTGACCTCCCAATCAATCAACTGCTAAAATCACATCCCAACCTCCATGGAACCGTCCCTACTCGCGAGCAAACAAACAAGTGGACAAGCCCACAGCTCGGCCACTCAAAACTCCGGAGGTAATGAGTAAAAAACAAAGTCTTGTATATATATATGTATGTCAGGCTGAGTAGAACCCCGCGTTCATTATTATAATGGTTCCTCCAGTCTCGTTATAATCCTGTTGTTATTACCGGCTGCCATGTTTCCTTATACAGGTCAGTAATGTCATTACACTGTCTTGCTCCAATTATTGTATGCTCTGTAGAGCAGACAGGAACTGTCCGGTAAGTAGGGGCGGCTACAGGCGTGTAATAAAACATGCAATGTCGAGTGACTGAGGAGAAATAAAGGAAGCCAGGATGGCATGCAGGACAAAATCTTGTGGCTAACACATTTCTTCATGGAATGTCAAATATAATCATTTCTATGTTTTTTTTTTTACATTATCTACGTTTTGACGGAAATGGGCGGGACTTTTAGATTGGGCTATATTACAAAAGGACCAACGACACGTATTTCTGTGTGATTACAGAAACCGCATTACTATAAGAAAGGTTTACAGAGTCGTTTTGAGGCAGTGAAATGAAACTGTAGACGATCCCTGGAGCATGACATTGGCGGAAGTTAACGCCTCGACCAGACCTTATCTGCTTACCCGTAAAATCTGCTGAAGTTTAAAGAGGGGAGCCGCTCTCATCTATTTTACGCCTCCGTTCCTGCTGTCTGCGGTAATAAGTTTTGTAGGTAACAGTAAAACCGAATGGAAAGCTTATTTCCGCCATTAATAGGGGGAGACAATCTTGATATATGCCCTTATCATTTGTATGAGTGGATGAGGGACCGGTTCTAATCATGTTTCGGAGCGCCATTCCAGACGATTGTATGGCCAATGGCGTCAAAGTTGTGTCGGGTTAAGAATATCACTCCTAATACTGCGCCTTGGGGACAACATAACGATGTGCTAATCAATAGAATTGTACTATGACGTCTGTATTAGAATAGAAGTTTGCTAATTACTGGTTATTTCATGGCGAGATAGGGTGATATGGCAATGCGGTTAGTGTGCCGTTTGTCATAACTCAACTGTACATGTGGTGACACAATACTTGTACCTATTGACATAATTTACAAAATAAACTGAATCAAGGATAAATCAATCAAAACTATGCAGAGGTGATATCAAACATAGCAAAGAATGTAGGAACAGTATACAATCAAACAAATTCGATCGCATTTTCTTCACATATGGTCAATTTGGGACAATCCCCAAGGAATGCAATGCCGTCGATTAGTAGCTCAACATTTAACAATAAGATTTCCGTGGAGATGTAAATGATTGACAGGTGAGCACCACGATAGGACCGAATGGCTGCGGTATGAAATAGTATCCCACCGGAGTTTTTAAGTTAGCAAAACTGTTGCACGAGACATTGCGTACTAGTGACTGTAGCGTGCATGTCTGAAAACGCCAGAAATAAATGCGGGCTCAACTGACTTGAATGATTTTTTTAAAATCTGCCCACAACATTAAGTAGTCTGCGTATTACCGCAATAGGGACGATGGGATTAAGCAATAATAATGAGCAAATGATAATGTAGACATTAAAAGACAAGATCAGAGCACCGTTCAACGTCCCCCCTGTTACCAGTATCTTGGTAAAATGCACTAAAACGTACGACCACATTTGGCCTTAACAGCGTGTTAAATGGACATAGCAAAGTCTGGAGTATCTCTATAGAGTACCGTGGAGCTAGATGAAAACACGGACCCTTGTAGACTGACAGAGGAAATTGCTGGAGTAAATTTCACCTTTTGATTTCCCAGTTGCCCTGTTGTCAGTTTCAACAGCTTTCTCATTTGTTCGCCCGTTCTGCGTACTTACGTCTGGACATAAAACTTTACGAAGTGGTAGATACGGGGTGTTCCATGTATACTACTTTCTAAATATCATAGCAGTGTTTGAACTCCAGTTGGCCACACAAAACACCTTTTTCTGATACTTCTCAATGACATATTTATATGTTAGCAATGACCATGTAGACCCACTTGACAATGTACCGTATACCAATACATTGGATTGATATAAGTAATTTAGCGAGACATAAGTACATTTATGACATGCTCTGATTATCATGAAATTGATTTCTACACCTGGGGGTTAAGTGCCAAGAGACATATTTGCATTTAACTTCAATAAGGTTGACTTGACTTGTCGAAAATCTATTTGTTTATTACTTTATTGACTGACTCCTCTGGCTTGTGTGGACGTTAGGCTACTAATGGAAGTCTTTATGACCTTGTTGATGTTAGATTGTTTATTGATCGAGCTGTTGCAATGTGAAAGTCGTAAAAGCCTGACCCAGTTTTGAGTTGTGAAAGGTAACAGGTGGCGTGTAGATCACATGACGTGTGTCAGGCATATTCTAGTGGTTCACTATGCCACTTTTCCCTTTTCCCAGGCGCTGATAGCAACAAAGTCTTCAGCATAGCGTCAAAATAAAGTCCAATATGATTTTTATAGTTCGTATCGCCTAGCACGTTGACTGACACAGCTGTAACCCACCCCATACATGTATGCGTGAAGATAAAGCCACATGGAACAAAGTCAGTCTTTATTTTCCCGTCTATTCCTTACAGTTCTGACGCGTATACCAACATGTACGTATCTAAACGTATGTTAAAATGTAGCAAAAGATGTAACGGTGATGAAGCACCACAGAAAGCAGCGAAGTTGCATTGTTTCTCCATCTTGATAGAGGGCATCACATAACTAATGTAACATCGTGGCTTCATCATCAGTGACACATCCATATAGTTGTCTGTCTTATGCGTTATTAAAGTTCATTAATCGACTTTCCGACCAGCAAGGCAATTAGAGATGAGAGTATAGACTTGGATGCCCTTTCTCGGGACTGGGTCATAGAACATGTATCAATCAATAAAGATCTAGAGATTGTAGGACCGTTCATTGATTAGTTCTTCCATTCATCCGTACATTCACCCATGGTCCCATACACTTCTCCATGTCCATGCTATAATCATCACACGGGAACAAGAGAGGGGAGCCTCACCATCCACAGTACCCATAAACCTTGTCATGAAGACCTCACTTCCGGTTCCGTTGAGAAAGACACGTTTGATACACCTGTTTTCCACGTCACTCCAGTACACTCTCTGTGGAGAGACGAAGATGTGAATGTGTGGTTAGAGAAGGGAATAGTTCGACTAAAACAATATGGCGGTTGGTTACTGAAATGATCAACTATACATGTATGCTTCACGTTTCTGAGACAAACAAAATTCGTAATGTACAATCGCATCCGCTCACCACCCATCTGCATAACAAAACCAAAGAAGAAGTGTACACATTAACCAATTCAACATCATGGAATATATATATTCTCACACATCTATTTGTAATTATATGTTAGACGCACTGTAGGGGTAAAACACGTTTAACTTTCGGTCCATACATATTTAGTAAAACAGAAGACGCCCTGTTGGCGTGTGCTGAAAATCCTAGAATGCCTAGCGGCAGTGGATTTGCATGACACCATTCTTCTCTATCTACTACCATGTCCATTCTTCAGTCAAATAGAGGCATTTATATTCATACTGCATAGAAAATGATCCTAGATATCTGTCTTTCTTCTCACGGCAGTTAATCTTATTGAGGAGAGTTATCGGGTTGGCAGGTTTGGCCCCATACTTTATACCTGCCGTGCATGTAATCATGTAATGATGAACAGACAACAGACTATCTAATGCGGCAGCCTGGATGAATCACCAGACAACGAATTTATAGGAATGTGTCAAAAACCATTTCATAGATGTCTCTATACCGGTACCAGTCCTTGTCATTTTTTCTTCAGATTTAGGTTATGAGAAGTGGCAATGCTGTAAAAGACTGACGACTGATTGTAATGTTATAAAGCTACTGAAATCTAACGAAAGTGGCGGAGTTTTAAACTATATTCTAACGTTTGAAATACCAGTTAGTGGAATCCACCTATGATTCAAAATAAATCAATTAACAGTCAATGCAGATCTATTATAACATCTCCAGTAAAACACAACGATCTCATTAGACAATCCGTAGATGTATAATTTTGACGTAAATCCTTGTAACACGACAACTTTAATTGCTGGTTGTTAATATGAACTGGCATCATGTAATCTGCTTCGACTTATTTCCCGCGAGGCCCATTATTCTACCCCCAACCTACATGTTGCAATTTCAGTAATCAGGCATATCAGGTGTTGTAATCGTTACTCATTAATGATGATATCGTTATTGTCTGATGTATTTCATTACTGTCATTTACTTTAAGAGTTATCGCCATCTTATCCAACGTAACTCTAAATGCTGCTGTATCAAACGGTAAAACTGATACGGCAATTACAGCATTACAAAGCATTATCACCGCACATGTTTAAGGTTTGACATGTGTGAATTTCAGTAGATATCTGAAACAAAATAACTCTGAACAAGGTAAACTACCCTGTTTGTCACGTAATGTTCATCACTGATGGATTTCTTGCAATTACTTAAGGCTGCCTGTAACAAGATATTTCCTGCAAAACGCCGTCTACTGTACCATGTGCAGTTAATTTAAGTTCAAAGTTGAGGCGCCAGACCAAAGCGACAGAATAAAGAAATATCTTAATGCTCTGCCTTCAAAGGTCTCTGTCATACTTTTAGCTGAAATAGCCCTTACTGCCTCAAGATGAGATTTAATTTGTATTCTTGAAAAGACTGAACTGCCTTTGGAGACCAAGACACACGCCGAGTAATTAATTGCTCTTTAAGAACATAAAAACGTTGGCTTAATCCCTCATAATCTTTATTAACGAGGGATGTTAACTCTTTCCTCGTTATTTTGTACTTGGTAATCTCAGCTTCTTATCACGCGAAGGCCTTGGGAGGATACTTATTTCCTCTGGTGACCTGTTTTCCTTTCCAACTCCTAAAACGCTAGAATAAAGCAACATTCTTGGCAACAGCTCAAACGATGTTGCCAGGAGGGAGGGGCGAATGTTTATAGGACGATTACACAGAACGTCTTTATTCCTATAAGATTGATGCATGCTTTTAAGGAAGGCGATGTGGACCAGGCAGTGATTTGTCACCGTAAGACGCGCCGTCAGCGGGTAATCCTAACGGCAACGCCGCGTAGAGTCTCCTCTGATGCGCTCGCGGCGGCAGCAGTGGGGATACAGATGTCCAAAACGGTTGCAGTCACTCACCCGTAGGAAACTTTTCATGAAGAGATGGTATATAGGTGAGTAATGATGTACAAACTATATTGGACAAAGTTTAACAGGCATCTCCTAGCACTTAATTGTGTGGCTCTTGATCACTCAGAATTTCTTTCAAATAGACACTGTTACTAAGCGTCTTGTACATTAGAAGTCATTTCCATCGTGTCCTTCATTTTCAATATGCCCATGCTTCCTATGTGTATTCCATACCGAAAATGGCTATTACAACGTAACTGTACAGGGACTAGAGTTGTCGGATTGACTTATGGCGCCATAGTCACATAGTTGGCAACTAAACAGCTCATGCTTTGGATGCCCAAAACGTAACATTTCATGCCATGCTGTGTAGGAATAAGTAAGAATTTGAGTTTGACAAAAATGATACAATGTGGCACGTCAGTACAGGCACATATCCAATGGCCTTCAACATACCGAAGAATGTGGCCTTAAGCAAAAGGCTTGTCTTTTCTAAGCACAAGTAAGACAGAGAGGGCTGTCTCCCTGCAGCTGATCTTGTTCCTTCCCTGGGGGATGTTTAAGAAGTTCCTTTCCCATCAGTCTTTTTTCAGTCTATCCATAAATCATCTACCTCAGCCGGATGACTTGAGGGGAGGATAGCTACCTGTCACATCAGCGCTTCCAGGGAGATCATTTTCTTTGTAGTTTTCTCTTGCCTCAGGGTAGATGCGAACATTAAAACTCCGTGTAGGTGTAGAAAACTTGTTGCATGGTCGTTTCGCCATGTAGATGTTTAAGAATATTTGTCTGGAAACTGACTTCATGTTGTGCCAGCGAAATCTTGTCGAGTTAGTTGTTAAGTTTCTGACACTTAACGCGGCGATTGTCAATATTCAAGCACATTTGCTAGACATTATAACAACGAATCGGGGAGTCCCGAGGTTTTCCGTGAACTTCAAGTTTACCCCATTTCCTGTGTCTGACCTTTTGACCTGTAATTCTGCCCAACCAACATGCTGTCAACCTACTCTGCCTAGACAAACACTGACACACAAATCCACGGCTCAGCCACCCAAAACAATACTTCTGTACCCAGAATAACAAATGATATCACCAAGGTTGGCAAATATAGAAAATGGCAACTCTTTGACGTTGTTTGATTTGCAAGATGGCGCCTGTCGACAGGAAGCCGTGTCTGCCCCTGATAGTCAGGCAAAGTTTTGACAGGAAGCCGTGATGGATGACGGTCTCGTGAAAGGTCAGCTGGGATCGCCTCGGATATGTACGAAGTTGAGAGAGCGTGCCATCTTTGAATTGATGCAGCGTGGGTCACGCTTATGTACATGTACCTGAACTAAACCTAAGGTTGGCGAACACTACAGCTGTCAGTGAAGGAGGGAGTATTAGGCTGGGGCGTCATCGATCCAAATTCACGGATATTTGGCATACACAATGGCCAAATAAACATGGTTAACTCAGTTGAGTTAGGCTAAGAGTAGGGAAGGGGCAACAAGATTTTGATTCCCCCAATTAAAATGTCAAAATCAGCAGCTTACTAAGGAAGGTGTCATGGTACATGCGCTAGTTATTGATGTTGGATATTTCTAAGGATTTTCAAGGTCATTAACATCACAAGGCGGGTGTATCCAGATTTTTTTGCCACTTTATAATTTAAAAGAGAGAACTTCTATTCATTTAAAAGAGAGGACTTTGAGGATCCTTTGATATAGTTATTTGAATGATTGTTTTAATGATTAGCAATTCAACATGGGTGAAGGAGTGCCCGATATATATTCAACGCTATGTTACTGCCTCACCTGTTCCACTGGATCATAGTCTACCGCCACAGGTCGGATGCCGCGATCGATGACTGCCCGGGTCCACACGCCTCCCCGCCCGGGTGTCAGCCGGACTACCTCCCCGGTGTCACCAGACGCGTACACCAGAAACGTCAGCTCTGGTAGGAGGGACAACAGAAAGACGTTGTTAAGTTATGAACCTGAATATTCACGATCAGTATGTAGTACGAACAGCTAGAGTCCAATAATGCCGCAGTCACATTCTAAAGTATTGTAAAGTTTGTATGTGTAATGTATTGTAAAGGTTTCTCCTGTAAACAAAATTAATAGCTGGCTAAAGGCAAGCCAATTTTAAATTTGGATAAAAATAAATCCAAACGCAAACATACTCGTCTGCCTCTACAGCGACCCTTCCGCCTCCCACAGGCGCTGTCCTAGAAATACGACGTAATGTTCCTCCAGACGACACTAATTCTTTCTCTGGCACTATATATGATGTACAACTCCTCAGGGACGTCTGGAAATTCCCCTAAAATTCATTCCAATTTTGTAAAGCCCCTCTTTGCCTCATCTGTGCACCAAGGGGCTCGCATGCGTTATTAATGAATTGTGAAACCCCTTTGATCGGTATATTTGCGGAAAATCGCAACTGATGAAAGTTTCTCACGGCGTATCACATGTTCTGCCAGGTTCTGCAAGATTCTGACCTCAACTGTTAACCTTTGACTTAAAACTACACAATTGATGCCCACACACCCAGGAAAGAATTATTTGCAATTGAAGCCAGACAGTTGAAAAATATTTTCCAGAATAAAAGTGACCATTGCAAAATATTCATTGCAAGAGGAAACTTTCTGACACACCTCACCACAAACGTTACTTGCAGAATATTTGAACACATGGCATTATCTTGTGTTTAACATCTCAGTACATGTCAGGTTTCGCCAGCCAATTTTACCTCGTACCAGTGAGAATGCCCTTGTTAACAACACGGCCGCTCACCGGAACAACATAAGGTCATTTACACCTGTCACAATGTTCTATCTCTGACATATCTTCGTTCGAGCAATCGAAACATGAAGGAAGAGCCGTTATTTGGTGATGATAAGTTTGCTGTTTAGAGTTTGGGCACGTCACAGACTGCATCTTTTCGACATTTCATGAGTAACCTGTCAGCCTGCCTTCTTGTGATCATTGTTCAGATGACACGTTAAGATTGGATATAAAACGCCTGACCTCCCCGCTGTCAGGTTCCGTAACGGTCATCATGGTTTGTACACAGTGTTTCATCAGTCATCTCTTGGCTTATACTTTAATCCCCCGTCACACATAGCCGACCATGACCTCCCGACCTTCTGCAGACCATGGATGGGAACTGGTCGTGAGCAAGGTCATCTGTGGTCGGAAAAGTTGCCTTTAAAAGTCGTCAGCACCAGCCGACTATACAGTATAAAAAAAACAAAGAAGAGCAAGTCATATTCTGCCCGTGGAAGCAATGAGAGGAGCAAACTGCACATGGAAGGAAATTGGACGGATTCCATGATCCAGGCAACTCCTAACATAGTGACGACGTCGGTTGGGAGTGGTCGTAGCAAAGTCGTGAGAAGTGCCTAATGACACGACTAGTAGCTGTAGCTGAATGTGTGACGGTGGCTGAAGTCAGCTCCTCCTCTGTTTCTCCCTCTATGACTCCATATCTATGACTTCCGTACTCCAGACCTTTCCATCCCGTACCAGTTGTCATGCTTTACGGTGCGGTCTCATACGTCGTGCGATCGTCATACGATTACGGATTGCAGGTGTTCTTGTGACAGGTGTGAATGTGCTGTGCTAAATTCATCTGCCTTCATTTGCTGGAAAGGCCGTCCTGGCCATTACCGGCCGTAGTTTCATTCACGCGTACGGCCTGCTTGAAACTTTCACGGCAACAAAGTCGTTTGACGACTTACGACGAATCTGACCATGCCGCTGGATCACACATTTGTACTCAACCAGCAACCCAGCCCGACTTTATTCCCTTTGTTGTTGTCTCCATTCCTCTCGGGCTGACTCCCCCTTACGCTCTATTTGGCTTATTTGATTCATCTCCAGCTTCTTGTCTTAATCGTTACCCAGACGCCGCCAGCGCCATTATTCATACCTGCTGATTTTCAATATGTTGAGGCTTTATAGTCATAATGGCGGACTCTACTCCCTCGGGCTAACCTGGTCTTTACTCTCGCGTCTATTCCTTGTTAGCTGTTCAAAGAGGATAAACATTACGGTAAGTGTGGTCACTGTTGAAAGCTCTCCTCAGTTTTTTAAGACGTCATATAATCAAACTTTACTTGCAAACTTATGCTAGAATGCGAATTGTAATGGAACACACAGATACGACAATATAAAAAAAGGCAGAAAAATGTCTGGTCTATCTTTCTGATGTCTGTAGTACATTACTGGAGGGTTTGACGTCTTCCTTGGGGCAGTGGCTAATGAATAGGCCCAGGTTTTTACAGATATGTGGATTCTTTGGATCTCAGTAGAATGTAGCTTTTAGTAGATGGTGAAAACTTGAGGAGATTGTGGTATCTGTTTCAAAAAGACTGTTTCTTTCAGCCTTATGATGGGCGCATTTACAAATGAATTGGAAATAAAATACAAACTTCTGTCCAAATCTGTCAGTACATCACCGTCCTAGCCGGGTCTTTTTTCGCAAAAGAGGGACATAAGTCACAACTGCCTCTGCAAAAAAAAAGGTCAATCTTTACGGTATCGAACAAACCAGGACGTACAGAAGTAACATATTGCCCCCAGAAAACTTTCATTTCCCGGAGCTGACCCGGGAGACCGCAGGGAACGAGATACCGACTTGTCATGTGTCTCTGTCCTCACGCATTTGTTTCTGGGGAAGTCAGTGGTTCGGGTGATCTAAGTGGACAGGGCAATGTTGTAGGCATCAACGTCAGGACTGCGGGAGAGCCGTTAGGAGACTATAGCTAAAACTCGTTCTGTCAAACGTAGCTAAAGGCCTGTCACGTTCAGTCGTTTACTGAGCATTTAGATCGGGTCTGACGATCGCTCTAAAACGGTGGAGTCGGTACACTTAAAACGTCCACGTCTTCATACATTTTGTTACACACTCTGCCTCCACGTGTTTCTCTTATAGTTTTTGTAAAGACCTGGCGCCGTTTGTGTGGCGTTTGAAAATGAAAAGGATTAGTGCTACATGTAACTTCGACTCCCACATTCCAGCAGACCACGACGTATTGCTTGTTCGTATCAAAATACATCTGACAACGTACACTAGTCAACCATTTGAACAATCTTCGTTCGCATAGTGTAGAATATTTTCAGATCATGTATCGTGGTGTTTCCTATGTACAATGTATCTTAGACTCTTGAAATGCCTTCAACAACCACACTTCCCGTAGCTTCCTTGGCTGGCTCTACGGGATGGTTCTTTTCTTTTTTCACTTACAATTGTATAAACTTACGATATATTTTTTTTTCATATTAGCTCTAGTTCTACCCAGTTTCAATCAGAACTAATACACAACCAGAAAAAACACATTAGCCAAACAGCCCAACTCATTAAGCCTGCTAAGGACGGATAGGAGGTGTGGAAGGAGCCTCATCATAAAGTTGGCTAGATTGTGATTCCTGACACAGAACATATTGCACTATATAGGACTGAACAGTCTCTACTCCCCCCGGCTAAGCCCGCACACATCTCATGCTTACCCAGACTCCAGCCGTCACAAAGTACCGCCAGAGGCAGCAGTCTGGCGGTAACACATGGCAGGATTACCCTCAGTTCGACCATGCAGTAACAAATCATATGGTGAGATAACATCTCAGATCTACCTGATCAGATCTGATGGAGTAAGGAGACTATCACAGCCACGTTCCATGGTTCTCATGATACAGACATCAGTTACACGCCCTGCACTGGAGGCCGCGACCGCTCAGCGACCAGAGACTTGACACATCGTTGAAATGATGTCATAGATAAAGAAATATATATATATTGTTTACTTTCTGTGTGCTTTGGTCTTTCAAATCATACATACACCGTGCATCATATTCTAATTATAAAATCAAGGGTTACTAAATCCAATTTTATTTTGCTGTACGGTCTCTCAGCGTTCGCCCTCCAGTGGAATAGGGCTAGTTACCTGGTAAGCGCTATATCCATATCATGCATCGTTCACGTAAGGTATTGATATTACTTATAGAAATCCCTGTTTCTCCTCGATATATTATTACTTGCGTACAACCGAAGTTCCTTCTCATATTTCATATTACTTAGAGAATAATTTCATTTTTCCAACCCAGTACAACGTCCTTTTTTACCTTTATTGATCTTACCAACTTAAATTTCTACATTACGCCTCGAGGGACATTTGCGGGCCTTTTCAACTGTCTTCAAAGACGGCCATAATATTTGCTTTTCGGTGTAGACTATTTGTTCCTCCATTCTGCCGTGGACACAATGATTTTTAACACCACTGGGTGATGAACACAAAAACAGATTAGATATGTTATTTTTAAGTTAAAAGATCCGTGTCCTATTCAGAAAGTTATGGGATGAAAGTTACAGTTGGATTTTGCTTGGCCGGTAAACTTATAACGGTAATTGTAATGCACTCTTATACATACAGATACAACTATGAAGCGGCGGAAATATCAATGAGCTATCGTAGGATATCCACACTGAAGACAACAAAACGTATAATCGAGAGACTTGATCTTGTTCTAAAGCACTGTAGTCAGTCATACAGAATAGGGTATTAGGTAGTATAGTAATAACGTGTTTCATGTAAGGTTCCTCCCTAAGTCGAAGTCATCGATCCACGGATCTATGGGAACATCTGGCCTGCATACATGACAACATTTCTCCCCATCCAAGCACAAAGATGTCACGTCTCATCGGATGTGACAAGCGGGAGATAGCGCTTTGTTTGTACCCATGTCATTCAGCCCGATATAATGTCTATATCTCCGTCAATGTTAACGGTTTCTTCATTTGGCACAAACATATGGAACAACGTAGAAATTTACATGCTTCTGCATTAAGATACAAAGTTGCACTTTGGCAACTTCAAAGAGAGCTGGCATAAGATGATTACAGAGTCTGCAATCTTTTTGTTATGATAAAAAGAGTGATAAATGAATAATA